AAAAAAAATTACAGAAAATAGCGAAATAAATATAAAAAAGGATCTGTTAGAAAAGGATAGTACATCGGAGATCTGGTGTTGAACTGCCGATGTGGATTGTATTGCGACTTTACTTCCCTGGCTATTTCCTTACATTTAGTTTAGACTGAGCGATACAATCCGCCATGATGCAGATTTGAACCTAATAATTAGCCTTATAGAGAAAGAAGGAAAATGGGAGGGGGGGGGGGACACATGGGGGCCAAGGGGGCAAATAACTTGCTAAGACTAAAACAGTGGCCTGCCTGTCCACCACACTGGATCATCAGCCAGACTATTAGTAAAAAATTAAAATAGTAAAGATCCCTTGAGGTGCATCGGGCATATGGGAAGAGCACACCATATTTTAACAGACCAATGGGCACTAGGTGGGTAATGTGATCAGCATTACGCTGGTTGTCTTTACTTTCCCAGGTCATCCATCCTGGTACCAATTTTAGGTTGGGTCGACCTGCGACGTCCTATACCATGACAAAAATCCACGCAGCCGGCAATGGGGGTCCATGGAATTACTAGTTTGACTCACAACGCCTAAGCCATGGATGCCGTCCAGACTATTCAATATGCTGTTTATTTTTCCAGAGGCTCGCCAGCGCCCATCATGTGAATCTGAGCTGCTTTGACCCTATCAGCCTTGTCAATACTTCTTGTTTGTATTAATACATTATTTCCCAGCTAGTCCGCACACTGATAATTATGACATAATCTATTTTGTCAGAGCCTGTTTCTTGGGGACTGTGAATGTAGTATCACAATCAGGACCATACCAGGGTTTGAAGTCAGCTGCAGCAGACTATTCTGCTCAGACTTGTTACAATGATGAGCGTCAGATCATGCAGTTTCCTGTCAGGCTTCAAGAGCGCCATTGTGGGGCGGGGGTGGGGGGGGGGGGGACCAGACTCACCCTAACAAACATGTCCTAAAAGTCAACTAATTAGGGTTGTTTCCTTCAAAGCCAGTGCATCTATCTGTGAGGCAAGGAACCAAGTCCGCACACAAATAAGCCATATCTGTCAAACAGATATGCATGCAAAACTCAAGTTCTGGTACAATACTAGGGTGCAGAAGTGAATGGATAACCAGAACTTTCCTCCTGAGTTTACAGCTGGTGAATACGAAAAAGAGATCCTTCAGAAAAAACCACGGAACATTAAATTGCCTAGGACAATCATACGGCAACCAAATAAATGCAGGTGTGAGTTTGCAAAGTCCTCTAAAGGATGTGTAACTACCACAATCAATCAATCAATCCAAATGTATAACATGAGATTTAAAAAAAAAAATTATTTTTTACATCCAAGATTAAAAAACAAAACAAGCAGAAGATAATAAAGTCAAAAGCCTCCTCTTTATGACAAATCAAATATTTATTAAAATATTTCACAAATATACATGTTGTAACAGGGACAACAATAAAACTACACACAAAAAAAAAATCAAACAAATAATTATTAAACAGGACAGCAAATGAAACTGAACACTGGAAGACAGTGTAAGTACAGCAGAATGAAATTTCTGCCTGCTAATCCAGTTTAATCCTTTTTAGGATGAAATTTTTTGTTATTTGAAGCCCCACCCAGGCTTTTGCCAGGGGCCGCAATATAGGCAGGCCATAAATATGGCCAATTGTCTGAACGCGGATTTCTGGGACCTATCCACGGCGATCCTCATCCACATGGTGGCACTTTGTGTCATCGGGTGTTTATCGCTTGTGTGATGTCCTAGTGGGGTAGAAAGTCAGTCAGTCATTTATGCCTGCTGTATGGAATTATAGGAAACCTGCTAAGGTAGAAATTACAAGAAAAAAAGCATTTCATTAAACTTGAGTGTTTCACTGGAAATATGAATTAAATGCCATTTTTTTCCCCTGCTAATCCCTCACAATGGAACACAGGCCTTCAACTTATTTATGCCAAGTCTACCTATCTTTTGTTTTTGCATGCAGCTCATCTAATGTTTTGTTATGTATCACAATCGACATCACTGCACATTGGGCATTCCCATGTGTTCTCCATCCTCCCATGCAGCAGCCACTTCAAGGTACTTCTACTAATTGTTCCCATCAAATGTCTCTCCCATCTCTGACTTCACTATCTAGCTCTCTTCTCCATGTGTTTTTGTGTGCGCCTGCCTTTAGTTCTATGCCCCTGTGGGTTTGGGTGTAAAACCCTTCTAGCTATATTATTCTCAGGTTTTATCAAGGTGTGTCATATCCAATGCCAGCATATTTATTTTAACCCTTTTTATTCCCTGGAATTAGTTTAAGTTGAGTTGAGTCAAGAACTCTGGGCATTCCTATGTGTGCTCATCTTTAGCAGCCAGCTAAAAGTTCCAATACTGATAGTACTGGTCACATGTCCATCTTGTGTTTCCTCTGAGTGTAGTGAGCTGGCTAGACCCTTTGGTTACACCCAGGTGCCTCATTCTCTCCAGGCCATAATAATCTTGTTTCCCTACTGATTCTGTTGGAATTTGTTTAGTTCTCGCCAAAGCTCAAGACTAGTGATTCTAGCACACCAATTATATGTTATTACACATAAAAAATAATTCCATTGCAAGTTCTAATGTAGGAAAATGAAGTGCTGGTCTTCATCACCAATTTCCACTTCTGTCGTTAGGCGTTGCTGTGGGGGGTTTTTGAAGAACAGTTTGCGATCCATTGCTTGATTAGCAGCAATGGCTATTGTCATTCCGTGTCGACATAGAAGCTCTTTAATATCATCAGTCCATCTTCTCCTAGGGCAGCCTATTGATTTCACATCAGATCTTTTCATGTGTAGCGTCTGCGTTGGTAGCTGTTCTGGCTGCATTCTGACTAAATGATCAAACCATTTGATCTTCTGTTTCTCCATGAAATTGCTGCATGGTGTTGTTCCTACAGTCTGTCTGATAATTTCATTTCTAACTTTGTCTCAGATGGTTAAGCTGGCGGCTTTTCTCAGGCATTTCATTTCACAGGTATTAATTTTACGTAGGTAAGCCTTTAATAATGTCCAAGTCTGGCGCTGGGAGCGCAGTGTTGGTATGCATATGCTGTTTATTATCTGTTTCTAGGTGCTCACACTTATGTTTGGATGTCGTAATAATAGTGTAAGTTGGTATTTAAATGCACTGGTTCGCTGGTATCTTGTTTCTATTTCTTGATACATTCTCTCGTCCTCCGAAAATATACTTCCTAGATATTTGAATTCTTTAACTTGCTTCACACAAGAACCATTCAGCCCAGTATGTGGCAGACTAGGAATTCTGCTGACTTGCATCAAGTCCTGGTAAGGCACATAATTATGAACATGTTAAAAAGCATAAAACTGCAGTTTCATTCAAATATATCATTTATGTGTATACAGTCAATAGTGGATCCATCACCGTAGATGGAGGAATCCCATGTCCTTTAGTGTCCACAGTAAAAAAAAAACTAGTGGAAAAACATATCAGTCACAACATCTTCAAGCTAGCCTATGCACAGAAGTGCATAAAGCAGCCACTAGATGTGCCAAAATTAACTCTCATTAACTCTCCCACCAGAATTGCAGCTCACTGCTAATGCAAGCAGTTAATGATAAAAGTCAGTATTTGCAAACACAGTACTGTATAAATATCCATTAATTTTAGTGCAGTTCAGTTCACAACACAAAATCACTGTGGGTATAACAGAAAAAAAAGACATTCCACTCGAAATCCACAGCTTAAAGTGTTACACCTAGCACTCAGCTCAGTAACTGGATGATGGAACCTATGGAAACTCAGTCCAGACATGGGGAAATTGCATTAGAAACCCAGCTAGAAGCAAAAAAAAACAAACATTCGAAGCATCAGCAGCCAGCCGGCTAAACAGCCATATTGGACAAGAAGTATGTTTATATATAGTGGTAGCACTTTTGAAAAGCAGTAATAATGAAACTTATCATGCATATAAGAGGCAACTAAGGAGGATTGGCAAGAGATTTGCTGTCTTATCTTATGGTAAACTTTATCTGAAAAATTCATCCAGAGCACACATAAGTTTACAAAAAGCTTGGCAGGATTAAGCTAAGTCCTACGCTGCACTTGGAGGTAAAGCAGATTAGAACAACTTAAATTTGTTATAGAGTGAGCTCCCCTCCCCCCAAATTTTCTTTGTGTTGGCACCCCTTTTGGTATCTGAATGCTTAAATATGGTTTATAATATCACTGGAATAATTAATATTTCATTTGTTATAGTCAACTAAGACTCAAAGCGAAAGGCTCACACCCTATCTCCACCTCCTTTACGAGTTAATAGCCAAGAAGAAGTTGTCAAACATATAAAAAAAACCTCAGTCACGTTAGATAAATGTTAAAGTCAAGAGCATCAAATTCACTGCACTTGGATTTATCCAACATGGCTCAGTCTCTCCCTGCAGAACTGCTAGACATCTGCCGAGAGCGCCACACTAAGCTCGAACATCCGAATTCCGGCTTCAATCTCCGGGAGTCTCCGTACAAATTACAGTCAGCCACGACATTCAGTGGGCAAAGCAAATGGCTTGACTACTTCATCATGGAAGCACCTAGACCTAGTAGATATGTGACCAAAAAAAAAAAAAAAACCACACTTCTTGCATCCTGGGATTGAACCTAGACCACAAACTGGAAGCTGCCATGTTTATGATGATGTCCAAGGCTTATGGTCATGGCCGATCTGTACCTGAGAGATGATGTGGTTTTCTTAAATCCTAATTTTCCCTTGTTAGTTCCAGAACACTGTACTTCACAGGATACATATTAAATGAACACAGAAATGATACAATCACATAAAATATGGAATGAAAGCAACAAGAACAACCTTAAAGAATTGAATACCAATTTATGAAGCGTTAAAAATGAAACCGCACACAGATGATCATTACATCTGCCCTAAACATTTCACTAAGGCAACTAGTGGAAGAAAAGAAGAAAAATGCAGATTACACCTTCGTAGTCCATCATGTCTGCTTTATCTGTCATGATGCTGGCTTAACGGGCATTGTGACTGTTAATACCTACAAGAATAAAATATTAAACAATTGTTATTTTTTTTAATGATAATAACATGCACCGATATGGCACAGCACATACAAGCAAGTCATAGAAACAATTCTGAGATCGTGCATTTTTTCTGTGGCAACTTATGAATGTAAGTCGTGAAAATCAGACCTTTTGAACTGAAATGCTACAGGAAAATTCTTAAAGTACCTTGGACCAAGAAGAAGAAAAAGGTTGACATCCTGCCTGACATGTTCATCAAGCAGACCTGGCTCGCTAAAAGCATCCTGTCCTGAAAGCTGAGGTAATCTGGACATGTCCAGCACCATGGTGGTCTGGAGAGAATGGTGACAGTGGGTACAGTTTCTGGAAAACAAGGCAGAGTTCGACCTCCGTGACATAGATACAGGAATTGAAGAGGCTCTGGCTATGAAAGCAGAGAGCTGGAGAATTGGATAGAGTAAGAGAGACTTGTAGGTGTGCCATGAAGAGAGCAATGTTCTGTAAAGACTTGCTGATAAATGATACAGAGAGACCAACAGTAAGTTGGTTAGTTATGTAATTTAAGTATAGCCTGCAAAACTCCCCTTTGTGCCTCTAATTATATAAACAAAAATAGGTTACTGAGCCTGAGAAAGAAGAAAGAGAAAATGGATCAGCAACACCTTACAATAGTAGTAGGCAACAATCAGTCCCCTGAGACCATAGAGTTGTGCCGCAGGTTTTGGGAACCACATCTGCTATGAATAAAGTACAACTCAGGAGTGGCAGTTTCTGCCACAAAGTCCACTTAAAAACATTGATACTCTATTATGCTGAGGTTGGTTTCCTCTCAGACCTCTCTCTAGCTTACTGCATTCGACCTCTTGCAAACTACAACACTGTCTTTCACTGCCTGCCTCCAGAGTTAATGTTGGTATCTTCTGGGTCATATTTGTGTATATCTTTCTAGCGTAGCCTTGGCCTTCTTGCAGATCTTTCTCCTGTTTCCAGCTCATGACCTTATAACAACAGACTCACTTTAACCATGCAACACATCTGGTACTAGGACATAAACTACTGCACTCCATAATATCATGCATAAAGGCCAGAACCAGATTACACTGATATTAACTATATTGTTCCCAACAATTATTTTTCAATTAAAAAAGAAATGTAGTTAATTAGTTAAAAACAATGACTACTGTGGAAAGAAGGAGTTAAAATACAAAGGTTAGTTATTTCAAGTACCATCTTTAATATGTCTCCCGCATGAAGTGGTAAAAGGACAACAGTGCTATGTCACATGTGCTGATGGTAGCAAAGCTACATATAGGGTCTATTACACCAAACAGATAAAGGGATGAAGACTAGACAAGGTGAGAAATAAACCTGCTGCTTTGTATACAGAATGTGGACAGTAAAATGCTAGGAAAAGCACCCCCCCCCCCCTCCCCTAAAAAAATGTGACATCAGATGTACAAGCCATTCCATTGTTAACTCTGTCACACGAGAAGCTGTAAAACTGACACTTCCAGCTGGGTCCAATTCCCTATACATGTCACGTTTCTGATTTATCTAGAATTACCTGTTTATGTGGCACAGAGTTAATGCTTTTGGCTGAGTTCACGCCTGTGCAAACATTTAGGAGCGTTTCCTTGTGAGCTAAATAGCTTTTTTTAAAGCAAAATTAAAGTCCCATTATCTTGTAAGCATCAGTGTGTGAGTTACCTAAGTCACCCTCATGAGTCATCTGACAGTGTTTTTTAGACCCTAAGGAATGTATTCCATTTGATACTTCACATTCTGTTGCTGTTTCTCGACAACTCTGAATATATATATCTTTACATACTTTGAAAAGTCTTAAAATGTAGAAGAAATAAATTTGAAAAAAGATGTATTATGATCTGTGTAAAGTTGTATTTTAATTTTTAAAAAAAATATTATTTAGAATTTTCAAGGGTTATGACCCTTTTTTTTTTTGGTTTATAGCGTGACAGGGTTAAAATGTGTCAAAATCAAGTCAGAGACTGGCATAAGCCCCTCAGCTGTGTTAAAATCAAATCAGAGATGGGCATAACCTCCTCATCAGGTGTTAAAATCATGTTATATGCAGGTGTACAACGTTTAAATCACTCCAACCCTAAACCTGTGTCAAATAATGCAAAGTTAAATCTAAAACATCTAGAAACATTATAACAAACAGCAAGACCATGTAGTTTGCCTGATATACACTTGCATCTACTTACTTTGGACACCCTGTCAAACTGAGCACCACATTCTTCACTGATCAGGTCAAAGGGCAGAAATATATCCAGATGGTACACATGGGATCGAGTTGTTAGCAACAGCCTGTCTTCACCAACATCCAAGGTCAGCGACTGTGCAGTTTTCTACCAAATACAGATAAAATAATAAACAATTTATTATAAAACTCTTTACTGTTTATTAACTAAATTTTCTGATCTAAAAAGTATTCCAAAGGACAAAAAAATAGTCATCTACAACCGTATTAACACACACACACTAAAAAAAAATGGGGGGGCAAAAAAAGTATGTGATGGATGTGTTGAAATTTAAAATATTAGACTTTGATATGTTCTAGAATATGGCTTAATCGAACATGTCAAACATGGACCCTTAGTACACATAATGAGTGCAAAATCAAAACAAAAGAGATGAGATGTTCTTACAATTAAAAATAAAGAAATTAGAAGATTAGACTGAAACCAGTAATAAAAATTCATTAAAGAAAAACAGATGAAATTGTCTTGCCTACTGACAAGAATTGCCCTGGTAACAACTGCCATCATTAACCAAGGTCGTAACCACATTGGACGAAATTTTTTATTTTGGAGCCCCACCCTGGCTTTCTGCTGAGGCTGCAGTATAGCCTGACGGGACCTCTCCACCGGTGATACTCATCCGCATGGTGGCACTTTGTGTCACCGGGTGTTTATTGCTCTGTGTGATGTCCTGGTGGGGTAAAATTTACTTACTTACTTACTAACAACTGCCACAGGGAGCCATGTTGAAAAAACATAATGATTACAGAACAAAGGCAAAACCACACAATAGATGGAAAGAACAGCTTTATATTTGATTTGATTTGATTCAAGAACCGACATCACAGCACTCGGGGCATTCCCATAAGCGCTCCGTCCCCATCTTCAGCAGCCAGCGAAGAGTTCCGATACTAATGGTGCCAGTAGCTTTCTGATTAAACGTCCGTTTTGCCTTTCCTTTGAGCCTTGAGCTTCTGCCAGAACCTCTCGTCACCCCCAACTGCATTAATCTCACCAGACTGTGGTGATCCATCTGCTCCTCCGCATTGTACACGCTCTCCCACAAGGCACTAACCACGTCTGCCCTATCATGTAGCAGTATTCCACCAAGTTGTGCAGAGCCAGCCAGTCTGTCTGGATGTTCATTTCCCAACACACCGGCGTAACCCGGTGAAAAAATCCAGACAATACTCCTCACTCGTGTCCTCCGCAGCGAAGCATGCCACTCTGCACGAAGCATACCTGTTCTGATCTTCCTCAGCATGCTTTCTGAATCAGTTACAATTACAATGTGTGTGTGTGTCATGTTTTCTAGCCAGCGGAAAGCTGCAGTGACCGCCTCAACCTCCATTCTGAAGCTGGATGTTGTGGTATCATATGCTAGGCTCTCCTGCACCAAACGTCGACCATTAACTTTTGCTAAAAAGCCCCAAGCACTTCTTTTGCCTCTTGACACTCAACCGTCTGTGTAAATTATCAAATCCTCTGAGCGAGCATTATCTTGAATTAATTGCTGAATTACCACCTCTGTGGCACCTGCTGGCCAGTATCTGCATTCCCGGCTCAGCGTGATTATGACTCTACACAAGTCAGACTGCTCAGGTGGCACTTTGACCCACTCCTCTCCTCGCCTAATGTTCTCAAGGATACAAACCTGTCTGATTGTGTCTTCTGCCTGAGCCATCCATGACCTCCCTCTTATCAGCCGCTGACCCTTAACTGCACCCAGAGCTTCATGCAGAGGGTGGTCTGTGTCTGCAGCTACCCTGAGATATGACTTCGCCTGCATCACCTTGTGCCTACCTGCAACCGTCGGCAAACCAAGGATGTATCGCATGCACAACACTGGGGTATCTCTGGTGCAACCCAGAATGACCCGCATAGCCGCGTTCTGTATGCGCTCTAGTTTGTCCATCTGACTCTTTGAGACACTAAGCAGTCCCAGGCCATAATCAACCACTGACAGGATCAGGTGCTGATATAGTTTGAAAAGCATTCTCTGCTCTATGTCAATTGCAGCCATAGTCTTAAGTGCACTAAGTCCTTTTTGGCATCTCGTCACAACACTCTCCACATGGTCCTTAAATGACAGGCTCCTGTCAAATGTAATTCCCAGATACCTTAGTTTGCTCTCTCTGTTGACGTCTCTACCATCTATCACGAGACTTGGGACACTAGTTTTAACGATTCTGTTGTCCAGAGAACACCACAAAACAGACGCCTTTTCCGGGTGGACCACAGCCTTCATTTCTGTACACCACTCAGTCACTTTGTCTACTGTCGCTTGTAGCTCCTGAGCTGTTTGTTCCCTCTCTTCCCCCTGCCTATATGCAAGTATATCATCCGCAAAAGTCAGTATCCTTCCAACTCCTGGTGCTTCTAGGCTTGCAATCTTGCTCGTATATACGTTGAAGAGCACAGGCGAGACGGCGGATCCCTGTGGCAGTCCTGGGGCCAAAGTGCATGGTTCAGAGGTCCATGAGCCCAGTCTTAGAGCAATCCGATGTGAATACAGGACAGCTGCAACCCAATTCACCGGCCATGGATTGACCTCCTTCTCCCTCAGTGCAGTCATTAAGATGTCGTATCTCACTCTGTTATAAGCATCCTCGAGAACTAGTCCTACCGCCATAGTTTCCTGTCTGTTCTGGAACCCTTCATAGACGTCAAAAGCAAAAGTGGCCGCATTTGCCCAAGTGTCCTTTCCTGGCCTGTAACTTTCCAGACCTCTTGGGAGAAGCTTCCCCCTTTCCAAAAATTCTTATAATTTTACAGCAACTATCTTCTCCAAGACCTTCACAAAAGTGTTTTGTAAGGTGATGATTCTAAAGCCACTAAGCTTAGAATGATCTTTAAAAGGTTTTGGTAGTGGTATTAGATAGCTGTATACCCAGTCTTGCGGTACTGATGCTGTCTTAATACTCTGGTTAAAACAGTCGGCCATCTCTGCTAGGTCTACATCTGTCAAAGCCTTCATGTGACCATACCTGACACCCCCAGGCCCTGGTGCAGTGTCTTTTGCTTTTTTCAAAATTTGTTTGATATCTTCCAATTGTATCATGTCTTCATAATGCATATTCTTCAAGGTGCCAGCTAACTCCTTTCTAACTGCATCCCTGATGTCTACACATCATTATGATCTGTCTGAGCTATAAACCTATGGAGGAAAGCCTCCCCTTTCTCCTTGTCTGTTGTCACACGCACACCATCGTCTCTACAAATTGTTCCGACTGTCATAGGCCGATCTTTTCTTTGCATCTGCCTTTGCAGTTTCCAGAATTTCCCCAATGTTTTATCGCCTCCCATGTCATTCACAAAAGTTTCCCACTTTGCTCTTTTGGCCTCTGCAGTACAGCGCTTGAAAACCACCTTATCTTTTTTCACATTCTCAGCCATCTCCACTTCCTCTCGTGAGCTTGAGGGTGTCTGTGGTACTTTCTTTAGCTGCTTCACTGCGGCTCTCTTTGCATTCCATGCCTGTTCTACTTCTGGAGTCCACCATGGGGGCTGTAGAAAATTGGTTCAATTGAAACCACCTGTATCCCTTGAACCTCTCGTCCACTGTGGTTCCACTGGCTCAAGTAAAAAGCTGTTGGCCATACTTCCGGTATGGCGGCGCTAGCAACCATGATTATTTCAAAGCAAAAACTGTGCGTATTCAATCGGTTTTCATCGCTTAAATTAAACCTCTTACCAGTTCAAACACATGACGGCAATGTTTTCCACCGCTGGATACTCGAGGATATCAGGTTTCTTTACTTGTTGCCTCGTTGGTTACACTGGCTGTGATAGAAACAACAGGCGAGCTGGAGTTTGTAGCTATCCTTGCGGCATCATCAGTGATTCCTGGGGTGGTGTCTATTCAAAGGTGGAGCCATTTAATAAATCAACTGTGTATTTAACTTCAGGAAGAGTCTTGTCAACAAGTGCTTCACAGTGCAGCAGATGTTTAAGAGTGCACAAAGTTTCCTAACGTCCATGGGATTTAGCAAAATGTTGCCTTATTTCTGGGAGAAGTCCGGGTAGATGGAACCCGTTAGCTTTGCATAGCAGTCCATCTAGGAGACGGCAAACTCCGAATTTAAACCCCCAAGTTCAAGGTGGGCCAACGTGCTGAGGAACTGGACGGCCACGGGTGAGCTGGTAGTAAACGTTGGACGTCTGGCGGGCGTGCGGGAGGGGGGGGGGCACCAGGCGTATGGACTCCTACGGGACATCCATTGCCCCTTCCCTAGCAGGCAGGCAATACTAGGGCGACTGGTCATTTCCTGCAGTACTCTATTTTTTCATATGGATTTTAAAATTATACATAAGAATCGTAGCCGGAGCTACAGGGCACGTGCTCTGCGCTTGACACATTATTCAGCGGTTAGTGAAGAGGGAGTGAGGAGGAGACGATGAGGAAATGGGAGAGAAGAAGGCATATAAATAGGAGGGCGGGTGCTAGGAGAACAAGGCGAAAAACGGAGAGATTGAGCTTTAATCATGTAAGAGTAGGATACTGGAACTGTCGGAGTGCTAGGCAGAGAGGTCCTGTACTGGAGAGGTTGATAGGACAGCTTTATAGAAAGATAAACTTAAACAAATAGCACATAGAAGATCCTTAGATCTCCTTCTAACCCTGAAACTACAGGACACATTTGAAAAAAGGGTAGTCAATAGTAGCTCAGATCACACCTCCAATGAACTCTCTTTTAATTTTTTATTTCCCTGTTACAGTGTGTACATTTCAAGGATTTTGAAACCCTTATAACAAATTTCCAGGTTTTTTTTCAATTTTCAAACCCTGAAAAACATTTCATTTCTGAATTTCAATACTGTCCTGAGACACAATACTTACAATATTTGGTAAGTGAATTTCTGCGACCAGGAATTCTGGATAGCCCTCGTGTGGCTCTTGGATGATGGTGAATTTTGGTTCAGGTGCCCTGGGATAAGGATGCAATAAAACAACACATAGAATAAAAAAAACACAATAGCAGCAATAATTTAAATGAGAAAATGTTTATTTACCATAATCACTAATCAAAGAATCGTAGTCGTCTCCCCCACCCCCAACATGCAGTCATTGAGGGAAAGTCAATAAGTAGGTCACACAAAAAAAAAACCATTAAAAAAACCCAAAACATATCAAATGCTTAAAAAGAACGGTTCTACATCATAATACTGACAGGAAACCATTAAAAATGTCCAGAATTTACTGCCAGCATTGATAATTTTTTTTAAGAGCAGTGTAAAATGAGGGCCTTGAGCCAGACGATTTACCGCCACATGGTTAGTGCAGTGGCCATGCACTGTGCAGGTTAGGATTGTATTACTGCCCCTGACATACACACCCAAAAGTATCTATCATTTTATTAAGGATTCAAACATGTATCTTCTGAATAAAGATCCCAGTGTTCTTAACTCTCAAGCCAGTGGCTTCTCGCAAAACAATAAACAAGGCTATTCTTACTTTTTAATCAGCATTTCTTCATGTTCTTGAACTTCCGTGATTAAATTTCGCTTTTCGGGCTGTTCTTCAGGAAGCTGATCTCCAACACTGAAAAATGATTGAAGAATAGAGCAAATAAAAAAAAAATGATAATTAGAATTTCTCTTGTTCCCTTTTCTCTCTTCATCATGTGCCATGCCATTTCCCAACATGTCTAGAATCATGGATCAAGTCAGTATTCTTGTCTCACTTCTCCCATTTGGTTAAGCCATCCAGGTATTAACCTCTTTGCCTGCCCCTTGCTCTATTTCCATCAACATTACCAGTTGTAACTAAGTTCTCAATTCTTTCCTTCTCACAACACATCCGAAAAAAAAAAAATTCATCAATTATGCACCTCAGAGGTCAGTATATCTGACTTCAGCACGAATTAATTAAGTATCTATTTTCTTTTTTTTCGTGCCTGTGGCTTAGTCTTTGCAAATATGCTCGGTAAAATTCAGCTGCAGGTGATTTGACAGCAGACTGCTTTGCATGGTTTTGACAAAGGTATGCAGTGCCAACCATTTAATAAGCCATTCCCTGAGTGAGCTCCGGGGTCCCCTTATGGGGAAAAAAGAACAGACCAACTGCTGCCTAACAATTATGCTGTAAGAGACAACTAATAAGGAATGTTTCCTTTGAATTCAGAGTGCATCTGCCTGAGAGATGGGGAACAAACAGTCTGCATAAAATAAACCATATGTGTAAAACAGATGTGCGCACAAACCCAAGGTCCAGAAGTGGATGAATTGCCATAACTTTCATCCAGAGTTTACAGCCAGTGAATGAGAAGGCGAAGAAGAAGAGGAAAGTAAGCAATGACAAATTAAGTAATGTAAAATTTGCCAGGCCAAACCACAAGAAAGCCCTGAAAATACTGTGGTTGGTTTAGCATCATTCTGTAAAGCACTGGCTCTCAACCTTACTAATGCTGCGACCCTTTAATACAGTTTTTCATGTTGTGATGACCCCCAACCATACAAATATTTTTGTTGCTACTTCATAACTTCAATGAATGTGTTTTTCAATAGTCTTAGGCGACCCTTGTGAAAGTGTTTTTTGACCCCTAAAGGGCTCACGACCCACACGTTGAGAACCACTGCTGTAAAGGATACACAACTAACTTTTTTTTCTTTCTGGCATATTTCAACTATGGCAGTGGCACTATCTACTGGGGGTACAGAAGATGAAGTGAATTAAGTGAATGATGAAAGATCACAGAAGAAAATCACTGTCAGGTTCTCTCCATGTGTTTCCGATTCAACGGCAGCATCTTCACACAGGTATAATGTTAATTATGGCATACAAGGTAAAATAGTCAAGAGAGACTTACCTGTCCATGTCCATGATCAAAGGTTTTGATTTGGTTCGAACATTCTGCTCTGCCAATTTGCCAACAAATTTTCTGTTTTTTAAGAAAATCCAGTCTGGAAAATATGACCATGGTAATATTTGAAAAGTACAAAGGACAGTAGAAGTTTTTTTTACTACTGCACGAAAGCCTTAATGCACATAGGAATTTGTGAACATTCTTCCTCTTCTATATTCACCCTTACAGGGGCAGACGACATGTTGTGTAAACCCTGAATTATCACCTTGTTACGATATCCATGTTAAGTGTCTCTCCATGTGGGTTTTTAGGACCCTAGCAAGCAAGTCATAGAAGGTAATACAGATATTACAGCTGTAAACCACAAAACAGATGCTAATTGTCTTTTAAAGAGCAAATGCAGAAAAAAAAATTGTAAGGGACAGATGGTCTCTTCCTTTGACCCTGCAGTGATGCTCCAAAGCCCATATGGGAAATCTCTCCTTAATCACTCATCAAGGTAATGCACCTCATCTTTTGTTCACCGTCTTGATGCGCTCATTGTAGAACTCCTCTGTCTGGGACTGGATCTATGTTTCTAGTCCATTTTTCAAGTCCGGGTCATTTTAAAAATCACATGCATGAAGTGAATTTTTCATGAGTGCACAATGAAGAAGTCATCTGATGCCAAATCTGATGACAAGGACAGATGGGCATGATGTCAAGTTGCACTGCTTGGAGACATTGTTTAAGGCTAGATCTAAACACTTTAGAAAGGTGGCTGACCAACAGCATTATGTCTTTGAAACTAAAATATTTTGTCTATGTCACAGTAACCTAGAAAGTACAGGAATGGAAGGCATGTCTTAAAGAAAAATAGAGGAGGGATCAATCAAAATTAATCTGGACACAGCATTAAAATGTATGAGACAGAGACACTGGCAACAAAATGAAAGTCTTTCAGCCAGGATGTCTTCTTCATGTTCACCGGCTGTAAGTGGAAAGTTCTGGTTGTTCTTCCACTTCTGGACTCTAGTCCAGTTCCAGAACCTGAGAGTTGCGTGTACATCCGTGTAAATCTGTTTCACACGTATGACTCTTTTGCTTGCAGACGGTTGGTTCTTTGCCTCTAAGGCTGATGCACTCTGACTTTAAAGAAAGCTCCCAGTTAGTTGACTCTTATGACATGCTTTTGACCAGGCAGTGGGTATATTCTTATTTTCCCCACAACTGGGCCCCGGAACCCTCACGGGGAAGCCCGGATGTGATCACAGCAACATTCTGCAAAAGACCCTGTTACATGAGGTTCACAGCTGCAGATATCACCCACCTCTATCATTTTTGTGATGGCATTCTCTTTCAACTTAGTGACTCTTAGCTTTTTTTTTTAAGGTCTGTCTGCATATTATCTCTTTACCAACTTCTTGATCTGCATCAGGGTCTGCTCCCATTCAACTATTTTCAATATGCAACTTGTGTGTGCGTGACTCTCTGTTACCTGCCATTCTGTCTATATAACCCCAATCATTGCAGCTTATTAGCATCTGACTTGAAGAATTTATGAACTTGATTGCTGCTTCTCACTGTCCATTCTCTGTAGTTCTGATAGATGATGCACAAGAGTTAACTGGCATCATTTTGTTTGTTTGGGCGTGTCTTCTACTCTTATAAATGTTTATAAAGTTGTGAATTATCACCATACTCATTTATACAGTCTTGACATATATGGACTTATTACAGGCATCTAAACATTGTATGCAGTCAACTGGAGATGGTTTGCCAAGATATCAGAATGTCGACCTCATATATAAGGAACATGTATTCGATACTTGGTAAGGCTTCAGATAAATCTTAAGCTGTGCATTACGAAACACTGTTTTGGCAAGCAACCTTTATTAGCCGCCGCCTGCAGCAAACTTTAGCTGTAAAAACCAGTCCGTAACAAATCAGTCATGCAGAAGCTGGATGTGTCAGCCAAAACTCAGTGGGCCACAGTGCAATTACATCTCGGATCAAATGATCAAATGCAGAAGATTGAGTACAAATAACTTTTTAGATAGACAATTGTGCCGGGCGAATGTGCACTAGAAACTTTGAGCAAATAAGACGTCAAAAACAATACGTAACTTGTGAAGAGTATTGTTGTCAGAGGCAGGCGATGCCCTATAAGGAGTAGGTACGGTGGATTCTTGATGACTCCTTTCCCACGAAAGCAAACGTGATATAAAGTAGGATCTTGAGGAAACCGGGACTCCAAGATAGTCAGCTGAACCTACGACCCACACAGTCAAATGTATTAAATAACTTGGATGACTGAAGAACCAGACAGCACACACAAGTTATCCCTCACCTCTTTTGAGCAAGATATTGTACTTTTCCTCTATTCCTTCGCACATAATGGTCAAAAAGAAGGTCTTGAACAACTGGCTCTTGTCCATCTTCTTGAGGAAGTTTGAGTGGACTATAACATCATAGGCTGTACAACCTCCACCAGCTGAAAAGTTAAAACATGTTTATAAAGCACTAATATGTTATGTTATCACAATCGACGTCACTGCACACGAGTATTCTCATGTTGTTCAGTCGTCTGATGCAAATATACAGACTGACCCACGAGAGGCTGGTTTTAATGTCTACCATCGTGGCCAAAGGTGTAGACAGCTAATCAGGCAGTCAACAGCAACTGGTAACTCAATGACATGCAGTGTTACGGGATGATGATGATGATGATTATTTTGGTCTTAAAGATGACCTATTAGGGATAACTAGTATATATCATCGCAACAAAGCCAAAGTCACCAAACTGCTGAATAGCATTATGCCAAACACACACACACAAGTGAATTTTTTTTTAGCAATAAAAAAAAAATGCAGGCCTGTTACTGGCCATAATATTGTAATATGCCATAGGCACACACATGAATTCCTACTCTAGACTGGTCAAAAGGAAACATTACTTTTCATGCAACTACACAATTTTCATTTGCCACTCAATGTTTAAATGTAGATTTCTCAAAATAAGGATTTGTCTTTAGCGTTGTACCCTTTAACATTTAGGTGACATTGGTAGAGTGCCAATGATATTAGATGTGTACATAATTATTACACATCTATGTCTTCTGTCCAGCTTTCTTTCTTGTAAGTTATGAATTAGGAACCAAAACCATAGAATTTGGGACATTCCCATAAGTGCTCCGTTCCAGCAACATGTGCAGAGTTCCATTTCCTATCTGACTGTACATCCATCTTGCCCCTCCCTTAAGTGTTGAGCTTCAGTCAGATCCCTAGGTCACTCATCACTACATCATTCTCTTCAGACCCTGATGATATATGTGTGCAACCACACTGTTTACTGCTGCTGCTGGCGTAAATTTACAGTCCGAATCACTTTCAGAAGTTTTTCATTATCATTATCAGAAAACTTTGGGACACACTGCTCTACAGCAAGTGGGACATTTGCGAGAACCAAGTGATGACTTGTAATCAGCAACAATGAGCAAACTGCAGGAAAAAGGAATAACAAACCAACACAGAACTGGGGTTGTCAGCTGCTACATGCTGTGGGATCCGAGCACTTAAGGACTGAATGGTTCAATGTTCAGTATCTGTATATATGTATATATACACACACACACATAAAGAATGCCTTACTTTTATCCAATTCCACATGAGGCTCGCCAATACTCATAGGTATTCTAAACTGAGTTGGATCTTCAGATTCCAGCACTTTCAAAAGCTCATCATCTGAGAGATCTTTAGGTTCTGGCACCTGTTACACAGCAGAAGAGAGAAGAAAAAAAACAGCTACAGACAGTAGCAAAGTTCAAGTACCTTTCACCCCATAAAAAACTTAAAATATGACCTTTTTTACTTCCAATTTCATTTTTTTTAAAAGCATCCTTATAATTCTCTGAAACTCTACTCTAAGAAACTATAAGAAGAGAGAAGAAGCAATTTGAAGTCTTGGTTAGTATTTATAAATATCCAGAGGGTCAATCCCCTTGATCCCAAAGAAGACAGGTAAGCACAAAATCCTCCACTTCTCTGATGAGGTTACATCACTAAAAACATGTTTGAGAAAAAAGAAAGTTTTTTCAGGTTATTAAATATTTAAATCAGGATAAGGTTTATATCTAGATAAAGGAAAGTAATCAATAAAGACAAACAGAGCAAAGAATTCACTGATTTCCCTCTCATTGATAATTGTAAAAGTGGTGTTGGTTATTTTACCACAGAGAGCAATGTGACATAATAATGAAATTGTATGACACCATGGTGAACCCAGACTCTTTTTCAGAGCCTGAGGGTAAAACTGTCTTCACCAATTCAGAGGGTCAATTTCACTGTGCCGGATTTAATCCCAGCCTGCTCAGTTTCTCTTTGCAGAGCTGCTGACTTACTGAAAGTGTTGTACAAAGTCCAAACTCTCTAGCTACAGGGGTGACCCCAAGAACTGGAGTCATAACAATTAGAGTGTTGTGCAAATGGACTGACCATTTCACTATGGGGACTACCTCTACCAGTATCGGCATTAACCCTTTGACCTGTAGAGATCTTTACAAAATGACCATTTCAATGATATCACAATTACCACAAACAAATTTGTTTCATTAAAATGCCATATTTAATAAACAAAATAACAGCCAGCTCAACTGTATACTTATCAGTAAAAAATAATACCAAAGGTGTTTAAAAATATAAGCAGGTTCAGAAATATGAAGAAGAAAAAAGGAAAAACTCCCACATGTCCAGGTCTTGGCACTTATAGGGCAACAGGATTAAGTTTTGAAGATCACAAGATGTTTTTTTTTTGGGTTTCCTTCAGGATACTGGCTCTTCACATGTTTCTACAGAACTGTGTTATTGTGGTCCATATGCAAAATTATAGGCCATAAAAAAGTAACTGTGTAAACTACCACACATGATTTAACTCTTACAGTACCAAACAACTCACCATATGCTAATTTAGTCAAATTTTCTAATTTCTTTTTAAAAATGTTCACCGGCTGTAAACTCTGGTGGAAAGTTCTGGTTGTTCATACCCATTTGGGCTTTGGTTTTGTTTCAGAACTTGAACTTTGTGCACATCCATTTACAGATCTAGCTTATCTGTATGCAGACTGTTGGTTCTGGGCTGTTCAGGCAGAGGCACCCCAACTGCGAAGGAAACACCCCTAATTAGTCGCCTTTTGTGATGTGCATGTTGGGGTGAGGGGGCAGTATGTCTATTCTCCCCCCCCCCCCTAAAATAGAGACACACTGGGTAATCGGGAGATAACACTTCAGAATAAAGATGATCAAATTATAAACATTGGCTAACATAACTGTTACTTAACTTAAAAGTAACACATAGCTAACTGACAAAAAACACTGAAATAATTAAATACACACATCTTCAGAGTGACAGATGTTTATGAAAACTTTCTCTCCAGTATCCGTTCGAGTTTTCATACAAAAACCTGCAGAAAAACCCAAATATTTAAAGAATCAATATTAATTAAACAAATGTGCAGAAAGAATTATCTGTTAATTAAGTAGCCATGAGCAGCATACAATGAATCATCATCAGTTCTCGTTATGCCTAGTGGCACATGAGGCTTCAGAGAGGACTTTCCATGCTTTCCTGTCCTGTGCAATCTTCAGTGCAGTTTTCCATGTCAAAGATGCCGCACTCAGGTCACTTTCCATCGTTCGTCTCCATGTTGTTTTTGGGCGCCCCTGTTTTCTCTTTCCCTCTGGTGTCCACGTGAGAGCTGTTTTCGCAGGTATATCAGGATTCATTCTCATAACGTGGCCAAGCCATTTCCATCTTCTTTTGGTTAACATACTGTCTAAAGTTTCTTGGTTTGTGACTTGAAATAGTTTAGTGTTTGAGATTGTATCTGGCCAGAAAATTTAGATAATTCTATGTAGACATGTGTGGTGGAAGGTGGACAGCTTGTGTGCATCCTTTTTGGTCATTCTCCAGCATTCCGCTCCATAAAGAAGAACTGGCAAAATGATGCTCTTGTAGAGTCAGAGTTTCGTTCCTCTGCAGTAATATATATATATATCGTACAATGAAGCAACATGGTAGTAATGGTGTTCCTGGTCTTATAGTAAACTTAGGGCAAAGGTGGTGACGGAGACGTTGGCAGAGGAGAAGAAATTGACTCCCTCCTGGTCAAGGCTCAGTAATTAACATGATAGTGTGGTTGATAGTGCATGTGGTTAACCTTCTAGAAGTTGAGCAGGTGACATGTTTCGTGTCACTGGCTGCAGTGATATATTCTACTATGTCACAGTTTTATGAAAAAAGCAAGGTAGTAATGGTGTTCCTGGTCTTATAGTAAACTTAGGCAAAGGTGGTGAGTGAGCCTGTATGTTTGTATCTATGTATGTTTGTGTGAATGTATGTATGTCTGTATGTGTGTATGCCTGTGTATGCATGTATGTATGCCTGCATGTATGTATGTGTGTGTGAGTGGGTGAGCGTGTGTATGTGGGTGAATGTATGCATATGGTGTGTGTATGCACTCGCATACTTCTTCAATTCCTGTGTGATCCCAGTGCTAACTTATGGTTGTGAGAGTTGGAAATCATCAGTATCAATCGATAAGAAACTAGTCGCTTTCGAGAATAGATGCCTCCGAAAGCTATTGAATGTTCACTGGTCGGACTTTAGGTCCAATACATCTATAAGACAGGAAACAAAACAAAAATATGTGTCTGATTTTATTAGAAAGCGTCGCTGGAATTACATCGGTCACGTACTCAGAATGGACATACAGAGACTTCCCCACCAAGCCTTCATATGGTCACCAGAGGGTAAAAGAAAACAGGGAAGACCAAAAGAAACTCTCCGTAGAACCATCACAAGGGAGAGCTCAACCATAGGTCTCAGTCGCACTCAAGACCTACATCAAGTGGCAAAGAACCGACAGACGTGGAAAGCTATGACCTCTGCCCTATGCGCCATCTTTGGCACAAGAGGAATAACTAACTATGCACTCGCGGGTTTTTGCATGCACTTTACAATTCATGCTTTTGTGCTCTTTTATAATATGCATATGATCATATTATCATAACATGCTTTATTAGTAAAATACAACTGCTGTGCAAAAGATGGTTGACTGGAAGGGCCGAATGTAAGACAGGCCTGCGTGCCCAATTTGTGACCCTTTGAAAATAAAGTTTGTTCGTTTCCATGACACTGCAGAACCAACCCTAGCGTTTTTTGTGTTTTTTTCTAGGCAAATTTTAGGTTCAGTAGTCTGCCATTTCTTTCTGAATGGTCAGCTCTCTGTACCACTGTCGAAACCAACGCAAGACACATTGTCCGCCGCTGGGATCAAACCAAGCACCCTGGCTTTATGAAGCATGTTTGCAACACCTAAGCCACAGACTTAAGATTCTATGTTCATGTATAATGGTTAGTAGAAAGGTGTTGGCACACAAATAAATATTTGCTGTTGGAAATTGTGGAGACTCATGATCATTCATACCATTTGACAAGGCACAAAAAGATGGGCTATCCTCTGAATAACGGTCCCAAATTATCGAGGCCGAAAATATACCTTAACAGGGCCTCAGTCACATGCAAATTGCGACTTCCGGCGAGAGTATCTCCCACGCCCCGCAGAGTGGGGCTAAACTAGATGACTGAGACTCACGAGCAAATAAAATGAAGGAAGCTGCAGGAGATGCGGTAGCTGCTGATCGTGAGTCCCAGCCATTTAGTTTAGCCTCGCTCCACTCCGCGCGTAGCAGCGTGGGAGATACTCTTGGCGGTGGCGGTAGTCCGCAATTTAAGTCGCGGGAAGTCTGTAATTTACATGTGACTTGGATTAATTAAGATTAATAAATTAATGAATTAATTTAATAACTTCTTCTTTGAGTTAACTGGCTGTAAACTCCAGCAGAAAGTTCTTGCTGTTCATTTACTTCTGGACTGCAGTCCTGTTTCAGAAAACCTGAAATTAATAACTGAATTAATTAATTACGAGTCACTGACTCCTCGCTACAGTCTACATGGCTCTCCTCCGAACTTCTACCCCCGCAGTATTGCGGCCTAAAATTTCCGTTCACAGTCAAAATAAAAATATGCCGGCTCTGTATAACGAAACAAATGCTCTAACAGGGTCTCAGCTATATGTTACTAGCGGACCTGTTTCTTATTGTTTCTGATTACCTGACAATTCTAAGAGATGCAACACTGCAGATGATAGTAGCAGACGACGATAATAGCGACCATTGACACTTTCCATTGTCGAACTTTCTGCCGACGAACAAATCGCGGCAAATCTAGGATCGGCTCAGAAAAACAAAACAAATGCTCTAACAGGCTCTCAGCGATATGTTACTTGCGGACCTGTTTCTGTGACTATGCCTCACTGCCGACCGTATCCCCCGTGCCGCTACGGGCGGCGTGGATAGGGGCGAAACTAGATGGCTGGGACTCACGAGCGGCAGCTACCGCATCTCCTGCAACTTCCTCCAATTACTTTGCTTGTGAGTCCCAGGCACCAAATTTAGCCCCCCCCCTGCACCGCGTGTACCGGCGCAGGGGATACGCTCAGCGGTGAGTTTAATCGCGTTTTGTGCATGCCAACAAGTCTGACATCTACCGCTGCTAAATCCTCAATCGGAAGAACAGTATAGCTAATCTGCGTGGGAGCGCGTGGTCTACCCGCCATATCGCTTTCATCGTCTGTAATGTCTCGAAATTGTCAACGGTCGCTTTAATGGTCTGCTAGTATCGTCTGCAGAAAACGCTTGACATTGTCACCGATCGCTTTTATCGTCTGCAATGTTGCGTCTCGTGACATTGTAAGGTACTCCTAGTTTTGCCGCAATATGTTCCTCGGCGGAAACTCCAAGTTCGTATTTTTAATTGGACTGCGCCCCGAACGGATCTTTCAGGCCGCAATACTGCGGGGGTAGAAGTTCGGAGGAGAGCCGTGTACTGAGTGTACACTTCGACTTCACAAAGCAAGCTAACTGATGTGTGATCAGACTGCCACCTACCGTTTGTAGTAAAAGTCGTTTAAATAAAGCATCAGAGAATGCGTTTTCCTGATTTTCTAAATTAAGGAACTGTTCATCCATGTTTAGCTATTAAATAACAAAACAGAAGTATCGTTAAGGTCCTCGGTGCTCCCCTAAAATCCTGTAACTGCCATATTGTTTCCGGTGAACGCACGGACTTGGTGACTTGGAGCTCTCTTGTCTATGGAATCCAAACTTATTCCGGACACTAGGAGGTTCTCAAAATGTTTTCACTCAGAGGAAACGCAAAACGGAGATATACTCAAACTGCTAGTGGCACCATCAAAACTGAAACTCTTCGCTGGCTGTTGAAGGTGAGGAAGGATTGGTTATGGGCATATCGCGAGGGCTATAAAGTCAGTTCTTAGTTCAACACTCAAGAGGTTCTTGTTTATTGAGTGTAACTATATCTGATTAATTGATTGATTTGATCACTGGCAGTTTAGAAAAGAAACATGTCTTTTATATAGAGACAGTCTTACAGTTAACTAGTACTGAGGCACGGCTTGTCCGCGATTCTCGTTCCGGGCGAGACATGAGTAATGCGCGGTTTCATGTACGCGCATGTCGGCTCTGGACAACATCAAACCAGCAGCCGCCATGATGGCGCTCCACTATCCCGACCACCCCTTGACCGTGGTGAATACGAGCACGCTGGTACTTCCTACAGAAGAAGTAGCTCCTGTAAATTGTAGACTTTTTTCCCGGCTACTATAGTGCCACCACCGAGAGTATCCCCGGCGCCGGAAGGGGTTAAACTAGATGGCTGGGGCTCACGAGTTGCTGTAGATGCTGCTCGTGAGTCCTAGCCATCTAGTTTAGAGGTGGCACTATAGTCGGCGAAAAGCGGTACGCAACTTGCATATAACTGGGGCCCTGCCATAGGATACCGCTATCGGGAGTATTCTCGCGTGTCGGTAATTTTTTTTTCATCCGCTGTTAAGCCTAGTTCTGCCGCCATGTAATCGCCGTAAGAATGTCCATTGCGTTTCGTGAAAATATCGTGCGCAGTTACTACTTTCGACACGGTTGAATCGCTGCAAAAGAAATGCAAATGTTACATATGTGTGAGGCTCTGTTTGGTTTAAATGTCTGTGTTGTGAGGCTCTGTTTGGGTTAACTGTCTGCGTAGTTCATTTGGGACCGTTATTCAAAAGATAGCCAAAATTACTAAAATAATTTTCTTCTAGTTTTATTAACTAGCACCAGCAGTTTTAAATTCTCTTAACTGCCCAGTAAAGTATAGGCACGTAGTGACTTATGACTTCTGATTACAGTGCAGACTGCTTAGGTATTTTATATATACTGTATGTTATGTTATCCCAATCAATGACTTTGCACATTGGGCATCCCCATATGTGCTCAGTCCACCAATGCAGCAACCACTCCAAGGTGCCTCTACTGATCGTTCCCATGAGGAGTTGGTTATAATATTTTCTGTCTTTACCTGGAAGACAGCATACTCATGCTTCACCAAGCTCAACTCCCCAGTCACGCAGTCGTGTTAGCGGCAGAGATTCGCCATTATCCCCCAACCTAATCAGTACAGCTTTGATATCAGCTCTATACTGATCTAATCGCACCTCCACTTTGTTCACTAGCTCCAATCTAGCTTGTCATACATCATTTCACCACCCAGTGGTGCAGCACCAGCCAATCTGTCTGCCTCTTCATTTTCCAGTACACCTATATGCTCAAGAGCAATGTCAGAAAGACACTAAATTAACTTATCTGAGATGGTCAAGCTTGAGATTCACTACCTAAATATTTATGTACAGTAGAGTACCCTCAAGGTTTTCAGTTTACAAAAAATGTCTCAGCTGCATATGGATTTGACACTTAAAAAAAATTTGTTTCTAAACTGGAGTAACTGGTAAGCTGCTTGTAAACACTGAACTAGTGTCACATACTTGTATAAATCCTGAAGAGGAGACCTGTGCACTTATAGACTTTCAGGTATACACTAATTATGGCCAGTGGGCATTTGAACCCTCAAATTATAGAAAATTCAAAATAACTGATTCATCACATAGATATCAAGAGGTTTTGGGTTTTTTCAGTAAAAAATCTCATGGGTTGGGTATGACTTACACTTTTCAGTCTAGAAGCAGACAGAGTACCTTCATGACAGCTCAACTCCTGGAGCGACTGATCAGCCTGTTGTACTAGATTAGTCAAAGCAGTGTTTCCCCATTGTGAATTTGAACAAAGAAGTCACAAGCAATGGATTGCAAAATTTATTTCCTGGCATATTTCACTGTTATTGTACTATGCACCTGATGAGATGCATCAAAATATGCCAGACAATAAATTGTCTAGTCTGTTGTTTGTATCTTCTTTGTTCATTCTAACTGAATGTATTTTCTCATTCAATGCATTTGTGATTTATTAAAAATTTTTTTATTCGTCCAGGCATGGATTAACAAACATAATAAAAGTTTTGGTTACTTCATTGATGGCCACTGGCAACATCCAGAAGGCAGACAATGTACTGAGTCAAAGAGACCTTCAACAGGTGATACAGTGGTTTTCTACATGGTGTTATTCACAGATTCTTATCAGTACTGGTTTTTTTTTTCTTCAAAATTGCACACCTTTTACGCACTTCTATTCTACAGTGTTAATTTCAATATGTTATTCATTTATTTAATATCATGCTAGGTGTAACCAGGAAAGATCGACTTTGGAATGATGATATCAGGAGGAGAGTCGGCACAGAACCCATACTGAACTTTATGGGTAAATAGATCTGATGGTTTGGTCATGTAACAATAGTGGCAACAGACAGGGCACCACAGAGAACAGTGTTAAAAAGATACAGTGGTGACAGAACTGGAGATAGACCAAACAGAAAGTTGATCGCATCAGTATCGGAGACACTTAGAAGTACTATACACAAAGCAAACAGAAGGGCCCGTTCCAGAGATCTCTTACTGCCCTGATGCGAGGCACTGCAGGAGTAGAGAAAAGAAGAAGAAAAATAATTTATGTTTCTACATGGAGTTATTCATAGGTTCTTATCACTACTGTTTTACCCCCTTAAAAAATGCACACCTTTTACACAATTGTATGCTGCAGTTATCTCAATAAGTAATACTGTCACTATTTACTTTCTTTGAAGCCATAATGAGGGTTAATTAAATACAAAAATAAAAAGATGCATGAAGAACAACGAAATGACAAAACAATTTTCACAGCTTGAAAACCTGGTTTTAACTAATACTATTTGTGAGTTGAAAACATGGCGCCCAAGTCATGTCTGTATGTTCATGCACGGAGGCATTGTTGGCAGGTGGAGTCAAAATTTGTTTTAAAATTGTGTCTGTGGAAACCTTGATCATGCTTGTTAAAGGAAAGGGGGGGTACTCATTTTGACCCCAGAATGGGACTCTAGAACCTCACTATGATAAATAGAATCTAATCTGGCAGCTCAGGCTTTTCTCATCACTAGGGTTTCTCATTGGCATCCTCAATGTCTCAAGCCATTTGTTTCCAAATTTAGTGCATTTTTTTAAGCGTGATTTTATGTTTTAAAATATACAGTAAAATCTCGTTTACATGAAGTTGCATGCGATGAACACTTGGCTAATATGATTACATTTTTAGGGGGTCCCAGTAGGGATATATTTTTTATAATACATCTGTTAGTTCCTGGTTAGCATAGATTGTTTTAACATGATATCTTGATTTTTCTGGTCCCTTGGAATATGTGTTAACTCTTTGAGTCCCAGGGGGTTTAGCATCACAGGCCCAGGGGGTAGTAAAGAGAGTCATAAAATCGGCGCTTCATGCGTTCATTGGGCTTCTAGGTATGAAACTGTGAACGTGTGATGCGTTCCTTGGGACTCAAAGAGTTAACAATGTTTTACTGTAACATCACTTCTATATCTGCTTTCAGGAGAAGTTCTAGCACAGACTTTGGATGCAAACCCAGAAGACATTAATGCCGCTGTTGCATCATCCCAGAAGGCCTTCGACACATGGAGCAACCTTTCTTCACATGCCAGAGCTCGCCATCTTTACAGGTGAATTCCTTCTACCTTTGTTTTCATCACCATAGTTTTAATTACAGTTTAGATATTATGCAGTAGGTAAAAATAATCACAATAAGAAAATTTAAGTGTATTGCTTTCAAAGATGCCACATGTCCTGTGCCACATCTAAAATATCTGCCAGGTTTATTTTATGTGGGAAAAAAAAGCCAAATGTAAAAGATATAATAACACACTATATGTTAATCAATACCAACAGACAATATCTGATCATCCTTGATGTTTTGCTTCTGACAGAAAGAGTTTATGAAATGTTTGATATTTAAATGGAAAATCCCCATGTGGGTTCCGGGGCCCTATTGTGGGGAAAATAAGAATGGACCCACTGTCTCCCTAACAAGCATGTTGTAGTAGTCGTCTAATGGGGGCATCCTTCCAAGTCAGAGTACATCTGCCTGAGAGGCAAGGAACAAAGAGTCTGCATAGAGATGAACCAGATTTAGGAAATAGATGTGCATGCAACACTCAGGTTCTGTAACAAGACTAAAGTCTGGAGGTGGATGAACACCCAGAACTTTCCGCCAAAATTTACATTAGCAACCACAAAAAAAGATAAGAAGAAATAGAAATAGTAATGAATAAAAGCTATTGATCATTTCAAGATCATCTTTACTGCACGTCGAGCATAACCATAAGCTTGTTTCTTAGTGTGTTTAGGCTGACAGCTCCTGTTCTGTATTGGTTAGTGTAGCAGCTGTGAGCTCTTCCATGGTTTTCCCGTCTTGCTGCTCCAGTTGTTATATCTTGACCTCACATCTAAGTCGAAGAGAAATGATAATCCTTATTTTTGAGGTCTTTAGCAAATTTCTCTTGATCTTTCATTTGCATATATTTCCCCAACAATTTATATATATATATGTATATGTATATGTATATGTATGTATATATATATATATATATATATATATATATATATATATATATATATATATATATATATATATATATATATATATATATATATATATGTATGTATGCATGTATATAGTAAAACTTAAAAGACAAATGTATCAGTGACCTTTGCGAAATTTTCAATTTTTTTAAGGTGATTTTTTTCTAGAAATTCCTGAGTATTGTATCTTTTATTCCTTGACATTTGTTTTCTTTGCATTCAAATTGGCTATAATGACCCTGTTATAACTGTAATTTCCCTCGATTTATTAAAGCATTGCAAGGAACTTACAAAAACACCAGTCACTTTTGGCGGTTGTGGAATCATTGAATTGTGGGAAACCTACAAGAGAGACTCGAAATGTGGATGTCCCATCAGCCATCAGACAGTTTTATCACCATGCTGGTTGGGCAGAGATTCTAAATGTGGAGATGAGGGACTGGAAACCTCGAGGTTAGTAGCATGAAAACTCTGCCAGTCTCAAGTTAAATTTACTTAATCAGTTTGTATTCAAGAGTGTGTGCACTTCACAACTACAATCTGAATCTTAACCCTTTGGACCCGAGAAGTAAAAAAAAAAAAACGAACACTTCCATTTGGGCCAATTCACTGTAAATGTCACTTTTCCCATTTGTTTATATTAAACTGTTTTTGACATACATTCTCATGCCTGAGCAAAACTTTAGGAGGTCAGGATATGAGTACATTAACTAACACTAATATCTGGGGGGTCGGGGGGAGTCCTTTGAGAAGTGACTTTTTTTAAAGCCAAGTTAATGTCAGTTTCCTGTCAGCCACATTGACAGGGTCAGGGAATCACGGCATGAGTTACCCAATACATATTTGTTTGTTTGTTTTAAAACATCCTGAGGGATGTATTCCATGTAATGCTTCACATGGTTCATGTAGGTTCCTATATCTTTATTAGTTTTGAAAAATAAAAATTTAAATAAATGGGTATATACATTTTTTACGGATTTAATAGTGACCTATATACACATTTTTTTTTTGGGTTGTTGACATAATTTAACAGGGTCATGACTTTAGAATTCCTCTGGCTAAACGGTTAAAGAGTTACAATAATAGAGCTACCTCCGGAGAAGAAAAGTTTTGACCCACATATTTGTTATCTAAAGGAACACATTCTTAGGATATAACAAGTTAAATAACAAATGTCTGGAAAATAAATAATAAAAGCAGTGATTATCTCATTATCTCTACTATTTTCCAAGGTGTTACATTGATTGCTACTGACTGGACATTCCCTTTGATGCAGCTGGCCAGTTTTGTTGGGCCAGCCCTGGCGACAGGAAACACTGTAGTGGTTATTCCCTCAGCTTTGACACAGTTATCTACCCTGCTGTTTGCTGAAGTCTGTGCTCAGGCTGGTTTGCCACCAGGTGTGCTGAATGTGCTGACTGGGACTTCTCTTGATTTGCTCACCAGTCATACAGGTGTGGACAAACTGGTCTTCTTTGGATCTGTTGCTGTAAGTATTTATTTTGTATGTGCATCTATGAGAGGCGCGTCCGTGGCTTAGGCGTTGCGTGATTCCAACGTTCCGCGATTGAAACCCACTGCTTTCTGAGTGGATTTTTATCATGGTATGGTGTGTCACAGGTCGACCCAGCCTCAGCCTAAAATGGGTACCAGGATGTATGTCCTGGGGAAGTAAAGACAGCCAGTGTAGTGCTGACCACATTGCCCACCTAGTGCCGAATGGTCTGTAAAAATATAGGTGCTCTTCCCATATGCTCGATGCGCCTAAGGGCGTGAAAAGGGATCTTTACTTTTTTACTTTACTTACTATGAAAGGGCTGTTTATGTGTATTTATGAATGTGGGAGTCTGTATGTATATGAATTTATGAGTGTGTAAGCATGCTGTATGTATAACTTTGTGTATATGTATGGATGTATGTGTGTATGTAAATATGTGTGTGTGTGCATGCGTGCATGCTTGCTTGCATGCATATGTGCGCCTATAAGGTATGTATTGTGTGATGTTTAAATGTGCATGTATGTATATTAGTGCCAAGAAACAGATTGTAAACAGCATATTCATACAAACATTGTGCTACCAGTGCTAGACATGGACATTATTAAAGGCTAACCTAAAATTAACACCTGTGAAATAAGATGCCAGAGAAAGGCCGCCAACTTAACCATCCGAGACAAAGTTAGAAATGATATTATCAGACAGACTGTAGGAACAACACCATGCAGCAGATTCTTTGAGAAACGGAAGATCAAATGGTTTGGTCATCTTGTAAGAATGCAGCCAGAACAGCTACCATCGCCGGCACTAAACAGGAAAAGATCTGAACTGAAAGCAAAAGGCCGCCCTAGGAGCAGATTGATTGATGACATTAAAGAGTTTCTACATCGACATGGAATAGCCATTGCTGCCCAAAAGCATTAGATCAAAAACTGTTCCTCCCCACAACGCTTAACAGAAAAAGTGGAAATTGATGGTGATGATGAATAAAGAACACATGGGTTTACTACTGATTACACACACCCCATATCAGATTATACCAGCGTAGTGTATCTGTTTTGAGTTCCTCAGTTATAACTTCTTTGCAAGCTTCACTGGTAAGGTCACAGGTAATGAGCATACTTTAGATCTTTTCTCCAGGTCATGCTGACGTAGTGGGTAATGAACAGGCAGACAGATTGGCTGGATCTGCACCACTGGGTGGTGAATTGATACATGACAAGGCAGATGTGGTCAAGGCCCTTTGGGAAGAAGCAACGGAATCAGTAGAGAAACAAGATTATTATGGCCTGGAGAGAATGAGACATCTGGGTGTAAACAGAGGGTCTGGCCGGCTCAATACACTCATATAAAAGGCAAGATCGACATATAACCAGATTACGACTGGTACCATCAGTATTGGAACTCTGTGCTGGCTGCTGAAGGTGAGGATGGAGCATGCATGAGAATGTCCCAAATGCCCTAACTCAACTTCTTTGGCTGTTGAGCAGGATATCTGTGATTTGTCCTGTTGGTCTGCTATTTTTCTTTGTCTTTTTATTGATTGTTGAACTAAGAACTGACATCATGGAACTTGGAGCATCACCATGTCTGTGTTGAACTCTCTCATACTGAAATATTAATTGTTTTTAAGCTCAATCCCTTAAAATAGAATCTTTACTATAGAATCTGTATTTGCTCGCTCACTCACTCACTCACTCACCGACTCCTCTATCACTTACTGACTCAGTCGTTAACTCACCCATTGACTCACTCACTCACTCACTCACTCACTCACTCACTCACTCACTCACTCACTCACTCACTCACTCACTCACTCACTCACTCACTCACTCACTCACTCACTCACTCACTCACTCACTCACTCACTCACTCACTCACTCACTCACTCACTCACTCACTCACTCACTCACTCACTCACTCACTCACTCACTCATCTGTCTTCTTTTCCTTGTGTCTCTTTCTTTTTGCTCTCTCTGCTCTCCTTCTCTTCCCCCCTACTTTCTGACTCTGTCTTTGTCTTTCTAATTTCTTATTTTCATGTTCTCCTGCTTTTTTTTCTCTCTGTTTCTCTATTGAGCTCTCAAATTTTCACAAAATCATAGTCTAGACTGGTTATAAACACACTCCTGCTAACAGGCACACACATGAACACAGTCATTCACCAACTCACATGCACATACACACACTTTATTTTCAAAATCTGTGCTTCAAAGGATGGCCAGTCTCTGAGACAGAAGACCGCTGGCCGTGGAACAAGTTTATCGCTGTCACTTCTGGGACGAAACCCCACTCTTGTGTTTGAGGAGGCAGATCTGGACAGTGCAGTGGAGGGAGTTATAGAAGCAGCTTTTTTCAACTCTGGCCAGGCGAGTCTTCTTGTCATTTGTAACCATTTAAGATCTCTTCTCTTCTGTAAGCACAATATGTTTGTTAATTTTTCTGTTTGCAGCATATTAGATTTGTAATAACAGATAATAGCTGAAGGGATATTAACTAAAAAAAGAACTTACAATTGGCTATTTTATTTATAACATTCCTCTATGACAGGTCTTAAACTATTCAGCATCATTTCTCATTGTCTGCCACTGTTCATTTGTTTAAAAATAGTATTCTCCTATGTCTCCCTTTTTAAGGGAATTTTCTTGTGCTCTTTCTAATATGCATTGTAAGGATCTTAATTTAGCTAACGTTCTTGATTGCATTGTTCTTTGTTTTGCTTTTTCTTCCTCTTGTTTAATGCTCGTTATATTTATCTGATGTGGCTTTCTGTGGTAATAATAATTAAAAAAAAACTAACTTAAAGATGTTTATAAATATATAAATACTTCGTTTTGAGTTGGATCATCTTCACAGTACTCCAGACACATCTATAAATACTTATGTTTGACTTGAGTATATTCCAGAACCAACATCACAGCATTCAGAGCATTCCCATAAGCACTCCCTCCCCATCTTCAGGAGCCAGCACAGAGTTCAGATATCAATGGTACCAGTGCCGTCTGATTATACACCCATCTTGGCTTTCCTTTGAGCTTCGAGTATCGACCAGATCCCCTCTTCACTCCTAGATGCATAACTGTCACCAGACTGTGATGATCCATTTGCTCCTCCAAATTGTAAACATGCTCCCATTGAGCCTTGACCACATCTGCCTTATCATGCATCAGTATTCTACCAAGTTGTGCAGAGCCAGCCAAAATGCCCGCCTGTTCATTTCCCACTACCCAGGTATTACCCGGAGAAAAGATCTAGACAGTGCTCTTCACCTGTGAAATCTGAAGCGAAGCATGTCACGCTGCACGAAGCATGTCTGTCCTCACCTTCGCCGGCATGCTTTCTGAGTCAGTTACAATCATGAGCCAGTGGAAAGCTTAAGCGACCCTCTCTAACTCCATTCTTAAGCTGGTTCTTGTGGTATCATATACTAAGCTCCACTAGGCTCTCCTGAACCAAACGTTGACCATTAGCTTTTGCTAAGAACCCCCAGGCATTTCTTTTGCCTCTTGACACTGAACCATCTGTATAAATAATCACATCAACAGAACGAGCCTTATCCCAAATTAATTGCTGAATTTCCACCTTCATGGCACCTGCTGGCCACTCTCTGCACTCCTGGCTCAGTGTGATTATGACTCAAATCTGACTGTTCCTCTGGCACTCTGACCCACTCCTCTCCTCTTCTAATGTTCTCCAGGATGCAAACCTGTCTGATCGTGTCTTCAGCCTGAGCTATCCATGACTTCCCTCTTATCAGCTGCTGACCATTAACTGCGTCCAGTGCTTTGAGCAATGGGGGGTCTGTGTCTTCAGCTACCTGAGGTATGACTTCACCTGCAACATCTCGAGCCTACTTGCAACAGTCGGCAAACCAAGGATGTATCGCATACGCACTACTAAGGGTGTCTCTGATACAGCCTAGAATGACCCGCATAGCACACATAAGCACCCTCCAACATATGCATCAGCTTCCCACAGTTAATAGTGCTTTTCATCTCCACAGTCTTGTCATGCTGGATCTAGACTACTGATCCAAGAATCAGTGTACTTACCATTGATTAAAAAACTGAAAGGTCGGATGTCAAAGCTTACAGTCGGAGACAATATGGATAAAAACAATGATCAAGGGGCACAGGCCAATCCACAAATGATCGAACGTTTATCCCTGCTGGTTTCTCAAGCTGAAGCTCAAGGAGCTGAGGTAAACAGCATTATTATCTTTTCTTTTACTAGAAATAGTCATTATACTTCTTCCTTATTTACTTTCTGCTCCTCTTATTTCTGCTCCTGTTGCTTTTGATCCTGCTCCTGATCTTCTTGGTCCTGCTCCTGTTGCTTTTGATCCTGCTCCTGCTCCTATTGGTCCTGCTCCTGTTGCTTTTGATCCTGCTCCTGCTCCTTTTAGTCCTCTTCCTACTCCACCTGGTCATCCTTCTAGTCCTCTTCCTGCTCCTCTTGGTTTTCCTCCTGCTTCTCTTGGTCTTCCTGCTTCTCTTGGTTCCATTTCTGTTCCTGATCCTCTTGCTGCTCCTGTGCCGGTTGCTCCTTTTCTTTCTTTCTTCTGGACTTTTCCTCTCCAGAACCTTCTTGCATCAGTTTTACTTTCTTTCTTTTGAAATGTTAGACTTTGGTTCTTTGCTTTCTTTCTTTCTTTCTTCCATTTCTTTTCTTTCTTTCTTTCTTTTCTTTCTTTTCTTTCTTTTTTCTTTCTTTCTTTCTTTCTTTCTTTCTTTCTTTTCTTTCTTTCTTTCTTTCTTTCTTTCTTTCTTTCTTTCTTTCTTTCTGTCTGTCTGTCTGTTCTGTCTGTCTGTCTGTCTGTCTGTCTGTCTGTCTGTCTGTCTGTCTGTCTGTTCTGTCTGTCTGTCTGTCTGTCTGTCTGTCTGTCTGTCTGTCTGTCTGTCTGTCTGTCTGTCTTTCTTCTGTCTGTCTGTCTGTCTTTCTTTCTTTTTCTTTCTTTCTTTCTTATGACTTGTTTGCTAGGTTACAGCGTTGCTATGTCTATCCCTCAAGCTCTCTGTCAATAAATTAGAGAATTAAAGTATACCTTTTAAATCAACCCTCTTCTGATCATCATCATGTAACTAATTTTAATTGCATAAAGTCACTTTCATCATCTTCTGCATCAACTGCCTGGTCTGAAACAGATAGTGACAATCATGACTCTTTTCTCAGTCATCTCATATTCCTATGACGTCCCCATGTAGGTTCCAGGAGATTATTATGAGGAAATAAAGATCAGACTCGGCGCCCGCCCCTCCCTGCCTGACAGACATGTCATAAAAGTCTAATAATCGGGAGTGCTTTCTTTGAAGTAAGAATGCATCTGCATAAGAGAAGGAGGACTGACAGTCTGCATGCAAATAGGACATATCTGTAAAGTGGATGTACATGTAAAACGCAAATTCTGAAAAAGCACCAAGTCCAGAAGTGGATGAACAAATATAACATTCTACACAAGTTTACATTGAATGCAGGTTTTTTTTGGTTTGTTTTGTTTGTGCAGAGAAGAAGAAAAATGACATTCTTACGAAGATAGTGTTGTAAAAGTAAGCTCCCCCCACCCCTTTCCCCCCAAAAATGTGACTCTTTACACAGTGAGTTCCCTTCCTCATTGCTTTCCTTTCCAGATAATTCCTAGAAAATTCTGGAAATTATCTAGTGACAATTTGTTTGAGGCTGGGCTAATTCCAGAGACCTAATAGTGAGGAGAAAGTCAGGCTAAATAGCTTTCACATACGATGCCTAAGAAGAATTGGTTTCAAGTGGCAAGACAAGATCACAAACATTCGGATATTGGAAAGAGCAGGTAATGCAATGCTCAGTCTCTGAAAGCTTAGGTGCCTGGAGAATAAAGGATGACAGAGTCCCTAAGGATATCCTCTGTGGTGAATTTCAGATTGGTAGAAAATGTTGAGGCTAGTTTCTGCTACAGTATAAACATATGTACAAGCAGGACATGAATCATACAAGCATTGAGGTAGACTTATGAGAATAAAATGCCATGGACTGTGTTTCATTCATGAGACAAATCAGGTAGGGAATGAAAATGAAAGGAACAATGATTGCAGAAAGGATGAGAGCTGAGCTTCTAAGAAGAAACGCACTAAATACATACATTGGCAACAATGAAATCCTATGTTCTAATTGTGGAAGACTTTTCTTAACGTGGGTGGGTCTTGCTAGTCCTACTAGCTATTTCCATGGTCTGTGAATGCCTCTCTCATAGCACAATCGAACACTATCATCTGGAAAGACAGAAAGCTGCCAACAACAAAAACAACAAAAACTGGTTGGAAACAATACAGCCACATTTGGGGATTGAACTCAGACATCTGACTCAGCTTGCAAGTGCGCTAACCACTATACTCCCCAGGTTCTTCCTCTGCAGTATTATCTGTATATAGGATTTCCTTGACTTATGACAAAGTTCCATTCTGACTTCTTGTTCTTCTTCTTCTTTTCTTCCACCTTGTATCTCAGTGAAGTGACAAGGGGAGATGTAACATTCGTTGATGAGCTCTGTCAAGAGCACTATTAAGATTGATGTTCATTTCTGTAAGGCTGGTCTTGTTGCCATCACTTCATCTTTTCCAAGGTCTTCCACTCACTCTATACCTGTTGTAACCTTTCAGTGTGGCTCGCTATGGTAGATAGTACCGAGGCATTTTTGTTAGGTGTCCTAACCACTTCATGATAGTACCAGGGCATTCTTGTTAGGTGTCCTAACCACTTCATTTGGGGTTGTATGTGCAGATGGTCATAAGTCGGGGAGAAGGTGTATTTCATTATACTTCTCAGATCTTCAGGTCAAGCACAGCTGCTTGCAACAAACCTCAGTATTTCCCACCAACACTGATAGAGAGCATCCAGGTGTCTTCTCCTGTATACCTTGATGAGGTAAGTAAATAAGATATTGCTGTGTCATATGGTGAGATATGGATGTAGCAGCTTTCTTGTGTAGGGTCAGGGGCCCCACTGGGGTTGGAAAGAATAGACCACTGCATTGTAACAAACATGTTGCAAAAGATGGCTAATTAAAAGTTTGCAGAAATTGAAAATGTTGTGCTGAAAGGTGCATTTTTCGCATCTTAGCTGGAAACCACAACTCAAAGTACGGTTCGCCATTTTAAGAGCAAACATAGAAGAAGAAGGACGAAGAAGAGAAGAAGAAGAGGCATGCAGCAGTTGAGTTGTTGTTATTTAGCTGTTTGCCTTGTATTCTAATGGTGGTAAGTTCAGTTTTACATTGCCTAGTTTGGTTCATTAGTTCAGAGATCCCTAGTGATTGTCACTTGGGCTACAGAGCATGTGCTTTGTGTGATGCTATAAGAAAGCATTTCAATTTTCAACAGAGATAGACCAAGTCAAATGGTACAGTAAACAGCTTCTCATCACCATCTTCATGATCATCATATTATTATTTTAGCAAGTTCTTTGCAGAATATCACTCTTGTCACAACATCCAGGAAAGACTCCATGTCTTCATGGTTGTGTTGTTTAACTCTTTCAATACCAAACAGTAATAGATAGGGCACCATAACCGAAAATAACTACCTATGAATATCTGATGTCTTCATAAGGTCACTAACAACCCAAGAAGGGACAGGATTATGAATACCAGCATTAGAGAGAAAGTTGGAATAAGACGTTCTGAATTACATTGAGTAACTGACTAACAGAGAATGAAATGGTCTAGCCATCTAGTAAGAATGCACCCAGACCAGACTGCTTATGACATTTTTTGTTATAGCAGAACATCTGGAAAGAAAGCAATGGGAAGACCAAGAAGGAGATGGATAAATGTAGCTTAAATCTGCAAAAAGATGAACAAATACATCACTCAATCCACCCGAGAAGCGGAAGTCCAGTACAGAGAACCACAAAACCGGACTACAACCTGGTGTTAGCAAGACAACAAAAGAAGAATGAAGAAGAAGCAACAAGCAGTTGTTACTTTAAATCCTTATATCCCAGATAGCTGAGCTTAAAAAAAAAGTTTAAATTTAAGTCTAAAGGAGCTGAACAGAGACATGAAGTAGAAGTAGTTAAACTAATAAATGAGAAATAAGGGTTAATATAACAACTGTCTTTGGTAGAAGACAAAAAAAAAATTATATTGTTGTGATTAAGAAATCTATTATAAGTTGTTTTGAATGGGTACCAAATGGATTGCTGGGAAGTAAAGGAGACCTGAATGATGCTGACCAAATCACCCACCAAGTGCCGGTGGGTTTGTAAAATATAGGTCTAGCCCTGTGTGCCCAGTATGCCTGAAGGCGTGGAAAAGGTCCTTTACTTTTACTTTATCGTGAGGTGTTGATACTGACCTTGTGTATTCTCCAGGGGCCTCTTTGTGAGGGAAATCAGAATAGTCCCTACACATCAAGACAGAAATGAAAGGAGTATTTGACAAGGAAGAACAAAACAGTGTGCAGCGAAAAAACAGCCACCCTCAGTCTACTTGATGATGAATACTCGCAGAATCTTTGGGTCTGTGTTTACACAGATGGGTCAGCAGAAAGTGCAGTCAGAAACGGAGGTGCAGAAGTGTACACTGAGTATCCTAATGATACCAGGGATACAGCCAACAGGAAGGCACTGTCACAAGTATGATGCAGAAGTTCAAGCCATCAAGATAGCGGTAGTGAAACTACTAAATACAGGGTATTTTTCACAACCAGTGGTATTCCTGACAGATGCAAAAGCGCTACTTCAGGCACTCCAGTCTCGAAAATTACCAAGCAAACGGACACTATTATCCAAACTAGGCACTCATTGTAATTTAGTAATGCAGTGGATACCTTCCCACTGTGGAGTTCCCGGAAACGAAAGAGCTGATAAACTAGCTAAGGAAGGTGCAACTGAAGAACAACCCAACATATCAGTCTCTTATCAACAGAAGAAGAGAATGATCAAATCAATCATTTATTTCACCGTGGCACAAAGACGATTAAGAAGAACAGACAGACCAGAGCAAGTCCCCCATCCTTCAAGCATTTAGAACAGTGCACAATCAACTTGTTTCCTTCATTTATTTCATGAGCACAAAGACTGATAGAAGAATGCCACCACGAAGCCCCCCCAACACTCAGCAGGTGATGTATTAATGGACAGATCCTTTCTCTGTATTTCATGTGAATTAAAGGTTGTGGAAGTCATTATTGTGGCCTTCAGATAAGATAATGTGTACCTGTAATTCCTCTGTGCAAACTGTGGGATCTGTTGATAATTAAATACCAAAACCTTTGTACAAACATTTTCAACCTGAGCCTAATCTCAGCTGTGTGGGGTAGTGAGTAGGCTGATGGATTGGCTGCCGCTGCTCCTCTGGACAGTGAGCTACTTTATGATAAAGGGGATGTGGTAAAGGCTTTCTGGGATCAAATGGACTGTGCAGTAAAATAGAGAGTTCATGAGTTATGAGTCAGATTATCTTCACAGCATTCCGGACACATCCATAGGCACTTAGATTCCCCTCTCAACATATTCATCAGTGTCATGTGGTTAATAGTGCCAGTCCTATGTTGGTTTACAAGACTTTGTGTGCATCTGGTGTGCTTCTCATGCTTGGCTGTGCCGATCTTGACTTCCATTTCTCGTATTCTTTGCAGTGATGTGGACACGTTGCTTCCAAAATCCTCAGAACGTCCTATTTCTCTAAGGGCAATCACAATGTCTGCGTGATCCATGGGCCGACCATCTTTAATTAATGCAGCACCTGCCAGTCTATCAGCTCTTTCATTACCATAAACGCCTGCATACCCTGGGACGAATATGAAGGTAACTGCACACACAGGAGAGTTTTGCAATGACTCAAACCACTGTCTGCGTAACCAGCCTGCCTCGACTCGCAGGATCATACTCAAAGAATCACTCAGCACACACACACACGGGAATAGTTCTGTGATTCTAGCCAAATGAAAGCTTGTGTCACCGCCATCACCTCCATCGTCATGCTGCTGGTAGTCATGGAGAAGGCACCGCTGGCTTCTTGAACTGTTCTGCCTGAAGAGCGAGCTGTAAGAGTCCATACATTGAAAGACTAATTCAACATGGGGTGAGTAGAGGTTCTGGAAGATATTCAGCACTGAGGGACAAACATAGGCAAACTTTTAATTAGGTTGCAGCTGTCGACTCTTTGTTGGTTACCAAGAAAAGGGATGAAGCATGTGTGGGAATGTCTCGAGTGCAGTGATTTCAGTTCTTGACTGATTCATTCATTTATCTTAGCCAGTCTGTATGTTCTGTGCTGAATCATGGCCTAGTTACAGTCTGAGATGGTTCTCCACAGAGTGAAGATATGGTACATGGCTTGCACACTCAGTTTGATTTTGAACATAGGAAAGCTCTGCAACACATTCCCCATGAAGATGATACTTTGGGACTGGGTCATGAAAAAAGTTTACGCCAATCTAACCATGAAAGATGCAAGCCTATTTGTGAGACTAACTTCCTGAACACATTCATTAAATGTATCAGACTGACAGCTTTTCTTCCAGAGATGTCACAGCCAGACAAGGATTCCAACCAGCCAGTCTTCTTCTTCTTCTTCACGTTCACCGGCTGTAAACTTTGGCGAAAAGTTCTGGTTGTTCGTCTACTTCTGGACTGCCGTCCTGTTTCTGAACCTGAGTGTTGCGTGTGCATCCATTTGACAGATCTGACACATCATTTGTGTGCAGACCGTTGGTCTCTTGCCTCTCAGGTAGCTGCATTCCGACTTTGAAGGAAGCTCCCAATAAGTCGACTCTTACGACCTTCTTTTGGGTAGGCAGTGGGTCTATTCTTGTTTTCTCTATAATAGGGCCCCGGAACCCACACGGGAAACCAGACAGTCAATCATCCAACCACTTGCCTACGCCTGTCAGCCACTGACCCTTCCTCAGCCCATGTGCCTACACTTGCATGCCTTACTTTAGTTTATTTGACTTGATTTTTTTTTTTTGGGGTCCCAACTTTTTTTACTTTATTTTATTTTATTTTATTTGAATTTTGTTGACTTTCTTAAAAACTTGACTTCATTTTATTTTTTTTTGACTTGACTTTTGTGTCTGCTTTTCTCAGCTTGACTGTTTTCTTGACTTGACTATATTTGGCTTGACATTTTACTCGACTTTAACTCTGTCAGCACCAGGAAATGTCACAAACCTTTATTGATTCATTAAAATAAGCATGAATAAATCAAAGAATCAAACAACAGCTCTCAACATCAGGTTTTAGACAAATTCAAAAAAAAAAAAAAATTTTTTTTGGCGGCAGTGGTATCAAGATTTCTTTAGTATAATCCGCCAAACGTGAACAGCCATAGGATGTCTAATGTGATTTTCATGACAAAAAGTAACCAGTCAGTCATATATCACACATCTTTCAGGACTAAACAAAATTTGCAAGGAGTTACTTAGGGATCAGGCTGATGCTGAAGGAAAAGGCAAGACGGATATACAATTAGTCAGTTACTGGTGCCATCAGAATTGGAACTCTTTGCTTGCTGCTGAAGATGGGGATGGAGCGCTCATGGGAGTGTCCCGAGTGCTGTGATGTCAATTCTTAATTCAACATTCAACATTTAGGACTAAAAAATTTAAATATTTTACTTTAATTGACTTAGTTAATCTTATTGTATTTAAATTTACTTTATTTCAATTTATTTTGTTCTGTGGTTTTTATATGCTGATGAAAGCTTTCTAGCAACAGCATTGATTATGTCACACATGATTATGTTCTGTAGAGCTGATCATTCAGCATTCTGTTGTAGTCAATTTACCTACTGCAACCACTTCTCTGTTTTGCAGGGTTTATATGAATTTGTACAACCATCCTGGCAGACACGTTCCACACCATTAGACATCTCTGTAGACTTGAAGAAGTTTGGTGCAAATTCAGCCTCAGAATCATTGCCGTCTACACCTGCAGCAAGTATTATCGATGGTTGGGGAGATTCGCCAAGGTATGCATTACGGATGTCTTGTATTCTTATCTACATATAATATCGTTGGCAAGATGCCACAGTCGTCCAAGTGCTAAATCCTTGCTTCAAGAAAACCGTATTTAAATATTGTGATCTCTCTAAAAATTGTATAATTTATGAAAGTAATATATCCTTCTGACCTGTCTGAAGTAGGAATTCAAATGGGCACCTTTGGTATATGTAAAGTAACAACCCTAACAATGCACTTGTGTGCTGACTTTGCACTTTGACATAGTGCCAACATAAATAAATATTACATATATTTCAAACAGCATTGACAAGACATACAAACTGTTTTATGGTGGCAGTCAGAAGAGACCTGACTCTGGAGCAAGCATCCCTGTGGTTAGTCCTTCAGGTGAGGTGCTGGGCCATGTGCCTGATGGTGGGCGTAAGGATGTCAGGGATGCTGTAGATGCTGCGGTCAAAGCTGCTGCAGGGTAAGTGCTATTTTATTCAAGAGTATCTTCTTCTCTTGTGTTCACTCCTTAAAAGAGTGGTTGAAACATTGTGTTGCAGTTTAGCACTAGATTGCCATTTTGCACTGTTATGCCTCAGTACATCTAATTTCATTTTTTGCCTCCTAGGACATGCCTGTTAGGGGGCAGCGGATCTGTTATTTTGTGTGTGTATGGTAAAGATAGATATCGTTCTTAAAATATGAAAGTTCCAATATGAAAGGCAGAGTTCAAGAATACGAAGAGCATAGTTAGTTCCTGGAATCTAACTTTTGATATGGCCAAAATACAGTGGTACCTCATTAGCTTGAATTCACTTAAGAAGAACACTCAGCTATCTTGAACAGAATGTTGGTCCCAGCAGGGATGTGTTGTTATTAGTTCCTGTTTAACACAAATTGTTAAACACAAACTGATTTTTGATTCATTCGAGTTCTGTTAGCGAGGTTTCCCCTTATTTCAGTTTCTGTGACAAGATTGTGTTTACAAGCCAGTTTTCTTTGACATTCACATCTTTAAAATGTCAATTTTTCTATTAGTCTTGTTTCCTGGTATTCTAAGACTTTTTCTGAAGTATTTCAGCTCAACTGCTCTAATTTTCTTTCCTTAATTATTGTGAGATAGTCCATGATTCATATCCGTATGTTCCTACATGGAAGTTGGATGCTCTCAAAAATGTGACTTTGACTTGCACACATGAAAGCATTATGCCTTTTATTTGACGTAAATAAAATAAAGGACCAATTTCATACCACTGGTGAATTGGTTATGTGGTGCGGGACCCATAATGTTATAGACCTTTCAGCACTCGAGTGCTGTTGTCAACATATCCCATTTGCTTCCCTTGACATTTCATGGTATCCATGTTTGTTCAGGTTGCAATCACCTGAGAGCCATATTTCATTTATAAAAATCCATTTTGATGCAGATCTGAACCCAAGACTGGGGGACTTCCATTTTCAAAATGGTGATGAGTGGCTGTGATTTCTCTCAGATTGTTCTGTTCTCTTATCATAAAATGCTGTTTTGTTCTCTTATCATGAAATGCTGTTTTGTTCTCTTATCATGAAATGCTGTTTTGTTCTCTTATCATGAAATGCTGTTTTGTTCTCTTATCATGAAATGCTGTTTAATGTGTGTTTGCAATGCAGGATACTATGTGTTTTCATGGGAGCAGCGTGGATTGTGGTAGTGCTATATGTCAGAGCAGAATGATGACCAATAGATTTAGCAGTCTTGACCACATTGAGTTTGTAACCTTTGGACCATCGCAGTCCACTAAACAGGAAGACAAAATCTCATCAGCGGGGGACTGCAGACTGTTTGAACTCCACGGTCATGGCCTTGCTGAACCCAAGACCTTCAGACTGGCACTCAAGCTTTTAGTTACTGTGCTACCACAGTCCCCAGTCAGACATGGAACTCATGATGCTCGGTGCAAGTGTTTTATTTGGTGCATCACACATATATTTTCTGTTTCCTTCTGTTCAGATGGAGTAAAAAAGATGGGCATGTCAGATCCCAGATCATGTATTATATAGCGGAGAACTTGCAGTCTGAGAGCCAGAAGTTTGCTGGTCAATTGGCAGCCATGACAGGACAGAGTCACAGTGAGGCTATAAATGAAGTGAATATGGCAGTTCAGAGAATGTTTCACTGGGCGGCTTATTGCGATAAATATGGTGGCTCACTTCAGGTAAATATTTAAATTTTAGCACAGTAGAGAGTATAGGCAAGACAGCTTTCAGTTTTTGAATCATTATTATTGTCATCTCACATCCATGAATGAAAAATGTAAATTAAATAATATGAGAACCAACATCGAAAAGACAGAAGTAATGTCAATAGGAAGAAAGAAACAGGATTTTAACATAGCATTAGAGCATACATATATTAACAGGCATCTGAGTTTAAATATCTTGGATCAGCATTCACTGAAGATAGTCAATTGGACAAAGAAATCGACATCTAATGCAGTAAAGCAGGCCAAGTATTAAGACAGCTAGCCCCTCTCTTACAGCATAAGGCAATCCCAATCAGCACAAAGAGACATTTCCAGCATATTCATTCCCACCCTATGCTGTCAGTGCCAGATATGGTCACAGAACAAAACATAAAAGAAAGTAAGTAACCATGAAAATGAAGTGTCTGAGAAAAACTGTAGAAGTGACCAGAAGAGATAAAATCAGGAATGAGGTCATACAAGATAAAGTTGGGACAGAACCAATTCTAAATTACATACAAAGACAGCAAATCAAATGGTTTGCCCACTTGGAGAGAATGCTTTGTGATGCTATACCATACAAGGCTTATACCAAAAGAGGAGAGGGACTGGAGCAAGAGGTAGACCAAGAACAATATGGGAAGATAACATCAGAGAAACTCTCCAGCCCCACGATGTGTCTATGGTCGAAGCATCCAGAAGAACACGAAGCAGGATCTTATATCTCCCTCGACACACGAAGTGGTAAAAGAAAACGTAAAGAAGATCATTGTCATCATCCTAGTCTATTTTTGCTGTCGTGGACAGTCTTCAAGATGTCTGTCATAAACGGATTATCTGAGGCATACAAATGTGTTTTAGTGGTTTATTTTTGGACATCGCTTTGTTCAAATAAGAATGAACATATGATTAGCTCAACAAATCCATAAGGAATTTTATTCTTTAAGTTACACTGCTCAAGAATGAAGGGGAAATTTAAAGGAAAAAAAAAAATTCAGTTAAATCAGAAAAACACAGAACAAAAACAGTAGAGAGAAAAAACTGATGAGAACTTTGAATGTTAGCATACTAGAAAATAAATAGCCACAACCCACCATGGGAAAGGGGGATATTGCTGCTCCCAGAGGCCTAAATCTTGTTTAAGTGCTTAATAATAGTATAATACTTTTCTGAATGGCAGACACATATAATAATACAAGCATATTTGAAATGATATGAATAAACAAAAACTTCAAAAGAGAACCTTTATACACCAGAAGTGAAACAATCAAAATTATAAAAATTTTATTTTTGGGATTGCACTGAAAGATTGACACCCATTGAGCACAAGTGTCATCAGTCTGTTTTTTGTTTTTTTTGTATTAAAGTTTTTCTCTCCTGGGCTATGGGAACAGTTAGCATCTACACCTTTCGTCATTTGCTGCGGGAGACAGAGCATCGATGGGTATGCCCAGTGTGCTATGGGAACAGTTAGCATCTATTCCTTATGTCATTTGCTGCGGGAGACGGAGCATCTATGGGTATGCCCGGTGTGCTATGGGAACAGTTAGCATCTGCACCTTACGTCATTTGCTGCGGGAGACGGAGCATCTATGGGTATGCCTGGTGTGCTATGGGAACAGTTAGCATCTGCACCTTACGTCATTTGCTGCGTTAGACGGAGCATCTATGAGTATGCCTGGTGTGCTATGGGAACAGTTAGCATCTACACCTTACGTCATTTGCTGTGGGAGACGGAGCATCTATGGGTATGCCTGGTGTGCTATGGGAACAGTTAGCATCTACACCTTACGTCATCTGCTGTGGGAGGCAGAGCATCTATGGGTATGCCCGGTGTGCTATGGGAACAGTTAGCATCTACACCTTACGTCATTTGCTGCAGGAGCATCTATGGGTATGCCTGGTGTGTTATGATGTTGATTCTTAAATCAGTGATCAGTAAGCTGCAGCTAGTAAGATTACCACCTAGTAATTGGAGACTAAAATGATATGACAGACTCAAGAAGGACTAAAATGATATGACAGAATCACTGGAGACTAAAATGATATGACAGAATCAGGAAGGACTAAAATGATATGACAGAATCAGGAAGGACTAAAATGATATGACAGACTCAGGAAGGACTAAAATGATATGACAGAACCAGGAAGGACTAAAATATGACAGTATCACAGGAGACTAAAATGAAATGACAGACTCAGGAAGAACTAAAAGGATATGGACTTTACCAGGACTTTACCTGGTGCCAATTTTAGGCTGAGTTGACCTGGGAGCTATGGTCATTGTTGAAAAAGTTGACTCAGTGTGGATTCGATTGCAACACATTTTGGCCAGCAGATAGCCTATGCGCTATGCGGCGGCTGCTCTATGTTAGGTTTTTCTATTCTTTTGTTATTTTGATTGATAATGCACGCTTTTTTTCTGTTCTCTTGGAACACATTTAGGAAACTGTTTTGTATGGGCTGACCATAAAGCGCCATGAACCTGTTGGAGTTATTGGAATTGTGTGCCCTGATAGCTTCCCTTTTCTTGGATTTATTTCCCTTGTGGCCCCCGCTATTGCTAGAGGGAACGCTGTCGTTGTTGTGCCGAGTGAGAAACATCCCCTGGCAGCTCTGGCATTTCATCAGGTAGGTTAAACTTGAAGCACAGTCATAAGTCATGTAGCTTTTGAATCATCATCATCATCATTAACCTTGCCAGTAAGTGTGGATATTCATGGTTCAGTGAGTACCATCTCACACAGTCATGTAGTGTTCTTGTGCTGCCTGAGCCATTCAGATGTTTGTATCTTTGTCTTCCACTTTGACCTTTCCATCAGGCTTGTCATTTGTCACATGTTCCTCAGAGTGGGCAAATCAAGCAGGAAATAAGAACTAAAAAAAAAAGAATGACTGCAGAAAGGATGAGAACTGAACCCTTGAGAAGAAACACACTAAATAAATCTGATGGCAACAAATGTCCTGAAAGCCCATGCTGTAATTGTGGAAGACTTTCCTCAACGTGGGCATGTCTTTCTAGCCACACTCCCCATCATTATGTACTCAGTCCCATACCTCTTTATAGTGCAGTATAACATATCATCTGCCATATCATTTTAGTCCTTCCTGATTCTGTCATATCATTTTAGTCCTTCCTGATTCTGTCATATCATTTTAGTCCTTCCTGATTCTGTCATATCATTTTAGTCCTTCCTGATTCTGTCATATTATTTTAGTCCTTCCTGATTCTGTCATGTCATTTTAGTCCTTCCTGATTCTGTCATATCATTTTAGTCCTCCCTGAGTCTGTCATATCATTTTAGTCCTTCCTGATTCTGTCATATCATTTAAGTCCTTCCTGATTCTGTCATATCATTTTAGTCCTTCCTGATTCTGTCATTTCATTTTGGTCCTTCCTGATTCTGTCATATCATTTTAGTCCTTCCTGAGTCTGTCATATAATTTTAGTCCTTCCTGATTCTGTCATATCATTTTAGTCCTTCCTGATTCTGTCATATCATTTTAGTCCTTCCTGATTCTGTCGTATCATTTTAGTCCTTCCTGTTTCTGTCATATCATTTTAATCCTTCCTGATTCTGTCATATCATTTTAGTCCTTCCTGATTCTGTCGTATAATTTTAGTCCTTCCTGTTTCTGTCATATCATTTTAGTCCTTCCTGATTCTGTCATATCATTTTAGTCTTTCCTGATTCTGTCATATCATTTTAGCCCTTCCTGATTCTGTCATATCATTTTAGTCTCCAGTGATTTTGTCTTATCATTTTAGTCTCCAGTGATTTTGTCTTATCATTTTAGTCTTCAGTGATTCTGTCCTTTCATTTTAGTTTCCAGTGATTCTGTCATATCATTTTAGTCTCCAGTGATTCTGTCATATCATTTTAGTCTCCAGTGATTCTGTCATATCATTTTAGTATGCAGTGATTCTGTCATATCATTTTAGTCTCCAGTGATTCTGTCATATCATTTTAATCTCCAGTGATTCTGTCATATTATTTTAGTCTCCATTGATTCTGTCATATCATTTTAGTCCTTCCTGATTCTGTCATATCATTTTAGTCTCCAGTGATTCTGTCATATCATTTTAGTCTCCAGTGATTCTGTCATATCATTTTAGTCCTTCCTGATTCTGTCATATCATTTTAGTCTCCAGTGATTCTGTCATATCGTTTTGGTCTCCAGTGATTCTGTCAAATCATTTTAGTCTCTAGTGATTATGTCAAATCATTTTAGTCCTTCCTGATTCTGTCATATCATTTTAGTCTACAGTGATTCTGTCATATCATTTTAGTCCTTCCTGATTCTGTCATATCATTTTAGTCCTTCCTGATCCTGTCATATCATTTTAGTCTTTCCTGATTCTGTCATATCATTTTAGTTTCCAGTCATTCTGTCATATAATTTTTGACTCCAGTAATTTTTGTCATATCATTTTAGTCTCCAGTAATTCTGTCATATCATTTTAGTCTCCAGTAATTTTTGTCATATCATTTTAGTCTCCGGTAATTCTGTCATATCATTTTAGTTTTTCCTGAGTCAGTCAAATCATTTTAGTCTTCAGTAATTCTGTCATATAATTTTAGTCTTTCCTGATTCTGTCATATCATTTTAGTCCTTCCTGATTCTGTCATATTATTTTAGTCCTTCCTGATTCTGTCATATCATTTTAGTCTGCAGTGATTCTGTCATATTATTTTAGTCTGCAGTGATTCTGTCATATTATTTTAGTCCTTCCTGAGTCTGTCATATCATTTTAGTCTTCAGTAATTCTGTCATATCATTTTAGTCCTTCCTGATTCTGTCATATCATTTTAGTCCTTCCTGATTCTGTCATATCATTTTAGTCTCCAGTGATTCTGTCATATCATTTTAGTCCTTTCTGAGTCTGTCATATCATTTTAATCTGACAGTCAAGCATGTGCAACTGCAATTTCCATACTGAAAGTTCCTCTCCATTCACCTGTTATGTTATCTTGATTCTGATATCATTGTCACCCCCAGGTTCTGGAGACTTCAGACCTCCCCGCCGGTGTTATCAACATAATAACTGGTGACAGCAACGCTCTGACAAAGACACTCGCAGAGCACCATGATGTCAGTTCTTTGTGGTATTTCAGATCTGCCCAGGGATCCCAGTTTGTGGAGGCAGTTTCTGCTGGTAACCTGAAACGTACTTGGGTTAACTATGGGCTAGATAGAGATTTCACAGTGGAAAGGAGTGGACAGGGGGAAGAGTTTTTGTACCATGCGACTAATGTGAAGAACATATGGCTTCCTATGGGTGATATTTTTGCTAACTGATGAAGTTGGTTCTGGGAAACCTGAAACACTTGGGCAACTATGGACTAGACAGAGATTTTAAGGTAGAAGACAGAGGGGTGGGGAGGAGTTATTGTGCCATGCCATCTCCATTAATAACATCTGGTTGCCTATTAGTGCCAAACTGATGCAGCTTCTGCTGAAACGTGACTCAAACTTGGGTTACTGGGGGCTAGTCAGGGATTTTAAGTGCTGGGGAGGAGTTATTGTACCATGTCATCTCCATTAAGAACATCTGGTTGCCTATTAGTGCTAAACTCATGCAGCTTCTGCTGAAACGTGACTCAAACTTGGGTTATTGTGGGCTAAACAGATATTTTGTTGTAGAGGATAGAGTGCTGGGGAGGACTTTTTTTTGGTTTCTTAACCGTGCTAGCTCCACAAAGAACTTATGGCTTACTGAGGGTGATATTTTTGCTAACAGATGCTGTATCTGTCTGGAACCAGAAATACTTGAGTAACTGGACAAGACAAAGATTTTGTGCAACAAAGAGAGGCGTTAAAAAATTTTTTTTTTTTTTAAACTCCTACCTTCACAAAGAAGACTTTACTGCCTGTGTGTGATTTGTTTTGCTAACTGATGCAGCTTCTGCTGTTGCTGTTGTTAGTTTGATGGAGGAAATGATAATAAAGATTCTGTCATGTTCAACCTTGCTGAGAACAGCTTCGGTTATAATTATGATCTAATTTTATGGCACCATGTTTAGTGGCTGAAATGGTTTGTTGTGCCAAGTGCTGTGGTTTATTATCCCTAGAAGTCTGATGTTGCTCTGAATATGTCTGGGTCCTCCATTGTGGTCCAGTGATCTGGGTGCTGTTTATTTGTCTGTTTTCCTGTCTTCTGGGTGTTATGTGTAATTGTGGCCGAGCTTCTACTGGAATGTGAAACATCCTTTGGTAACCATAGACTTTATGCTGGAGGACAGATGGAGAAATGTTTGTAATCATGCCACCTCCGTGAAGAACATCCATCTTCCTTCTGGGTGAGAACTTTGTTACTTGAAGTTGTCTACATCTGTATTGTTATTTTTAAAAAAAAAAGGTGGTGACTGCAATGGAGCTGATACAAAGAACTAAATGAATACAACATAAAATATGATGATAAAATAGTTTATAAACTCTCTGAGTCCCAGTTTGGATGCTTCTAAATCGCATTACATCCGAAGATTTTATTATTTTAACAATCACATGTTTGTATTTGAAGCAAATAGAATAAAAACAACATGAGAAAGAAGGATATAAAGCAACAGTGAGGCAGCGTAAGTTAACCTAATTGCTGGCTGGAGAACAATATGTTAAGAATAGTATATAATGCATAAAAGCAAAAAAAAAATGCATGATGAGATGATTGGGACTAAATAAGTTGAAACAAACATAAGACAAACATCCAGTATCAGAAAAGATTAGCACTTTCTATTTCCCAGACAAAAAGAAGCAGACATAAAAATAAACACAGTTTTTGCCGCCTCCAGAATGGAGGTCATCTATAGTGTCTTTGGTGCGAATGCGACCACGCTGCCAGTTACGATGCAAGAAGAAGCTCATGACTTTTTTCCGGCGACTATAGTGCCACCTTCGAGTGTATCCCCCGTGCCGCGCTAAACTAGATGACTAGGACTCACGAGCAAATACAATGGAGGAAGCTGCAGGAGAAGCGGTAGCTGCTGCTTGTGAGTCCCAGCCATCTAGTTTAGCTCCTGCCGCGCATAGCGGTGCGGGGGATACTCTAGGAGGTTGCACTATATTGGTCCGTAACTTACATATAACTGAGCCCGTGCCGTAGGATAGTGCTATCGGGAGTATTCTTGCGTGTCGCTAATTTGTCGTCCGTAGTTAATCCTAGTTTTGCCCCCTTTTAATCGTCGTAAAAATCTGTTGCGTTTCGCGAAAATGTCGTGCGCAGTTAATCCTACTTTTGACGGGGTTGATTCGCCGCAAAAAATATGCAAATTTTAAATATCAGCGAGGCTTTGTTAGGGTTTACTTTCTGCGTAGATCATTTGGGACCGTTATTCAGAGTAGAGCCTAATATTTATTACCGACCTCGCCTGTACTCCCAGTGTCACTTATTAGCGTTCAGCATCTCATTCAGTTAGCCACAATTTAGACCAGTGTTTCCCAAACTTTTCTTAGTCGTGGCGCCTTTTTTCAATCAAAATGTTTCCCACGGTGCCCTAACCTGGAAGAACCCAGAAGGCCAACTATAAATTTAGTTACCGTATTTTGGTGCAGTTATCTAATGGAATAGAGTTGTAATTAGAAAATCCTATGTGGAGAACATGCATATTAAATAAGTTTCAGCACACACTAATTTTCTTCAAAAAGCAGTAGTGAGTAGAAAAACACATACCACACATGCCAGCGACTCAGTATAAATAGTGGGTAAGAAACCACTGAAGTAACCTTCAGTCTATAAGACTTACCAGAAAAGGGACTAGTCACATGAACCATCGCAGATGAGAGCCTTCAGTTGTGGAGATGCCAGCTCAACACTAGAAGGAGAGGAACCAGTCACATGGAGCCTTAAGGACAGTCACTAGAGAAGAGACATGAAACATGACATCGAGCTACAGAGACAACATTAGACAGAAACACTATTGAGATGTTAGAGTCCACAATTAAGCCGTTAGTACCAGACATCACCAGAAATCAGGCGGTAGTTACAAACACTAGAACAAGTTAACAAAGTAACCAGAGATAAAGAACACACCGCAACATCAAGAGTATGCAGAGCGAAACTATTTGTTGTTTAGAATGCTACTGATGTTATTTATCGCATTTAGAGATAGACGACAATAAAGACAGTACATTCGAAAGAATAGTTGTTTCAAGACATTTTGTTACACAAGCATCACAGTGACTTGAGACGCATGCAGTAAGCATGAGATACTATCATTATCACCATTATCCAAACGACCATCTTTCTTCTCGTCTAAGTTCTTCAGTTGACTCCTTCTGGGGCAAACTAAAGACTAACCTGGGTGTGACATCCACATACACAAAGAAGACAGCTGTGCTACACAGAGTGGAAAATTACCAAGTATACGGACACTACTCACTGAACTAGGCAACCGGTGTAAAGTTAATATGCAATGAATACCGTCCCACGGAAATGAAAATGCTGAAAAACTAGCTAAGGAAGGAGCAACTGAAGAACAACCTGACGTACTACTCTCTTTTTGACAGAAGAGACTAATCACATCAGTCAGAAAGCCACCAAAACTGGAAGAAGACGATTACCATTTTATGGACAGACCAGAACAAGTCATTATTCTACGTCTTAGAACAGGGCCTAGTCGACTTCGCACCTACACGTACGCAAAATTTAAGATTGGCGAATTAGCTATGTTCACATGTGGACTGGCACCTGAGACATCAGATCACAACCTCCAAGACTGTCCCAAATACATTAATAGTCAAAACTTCCGGCCAAGAGAGACACTGCTGGAAGCCAAACTTAACGCGAGGCTGAGTGAATTACAAAAGACATTGAAGTTTATACCAGAGATAGCATTGCAGATATAGATATTTATTTCAAGCAGAGGAAAAAAGAAGTTATCACTGCCGAAATCACAGTAAAGCGGTCTGCTGGCTATCGCACTCAGCGGGGATCGAACCTGGCAACCGGAATTACGAAGCGCTTTTGCAAGGCCTAAGCCACATACACCGACTTGCAAGCATGTCCTAAGTCGACTCATTAGGTGTGTTCCATTCGAAGTTGGAATGCATTTGCATGATAGGCGAAAACCAACAGTGTGCCTACATATAAGCCAAAAATATTAAACGATGTGCACGCAAAACTCAATTTCTTGAACAAGAGCAAAGTTCAGAAGTGGACAGACAACCAGAAGTGTTGCCAATTTACATATGGTGAACGTTAAGAAAGAGGAGGAGAATAAGAAGAAGAAGAAGAAGGAAAGCAAAGGAGAAGATCACATGTGAAAAGAAGAAGAAGCAGCAAAGAAGACGTGGCATTTAAAAATTTTCACACACTCTAGGCCACTACACGTGATATTAGGTGGTCAAATTTCCTCCTTGTCGCCTTTTCTTCCCAGTTCTAAGAGACTTATGGAAATGATCTGATTCTTATATTTATGTTACTAAGAGAACCCTAGATCCGTACAGGGCTTACACAATACCTGCAACCTCTGGGGTCTGACCCAGGACCTCTCCGTCTAGGTTCTGTGGCCCTTTTCTGAAGGAGGGGGGGGGGGGAGTCTAAGATGAGAGATTAGACCTAACAAACATATCGTAGAAGGGGGCTAATTAGGGATGTTTGCATCGAAGGCGGAGTGCATCTGCTTGAGAGGCAAGAAACCAACAACATGCATACAAATAAACGAGATCTATAAAACGGATATGCACGTCAAACTCAAGTTGGGGAACAGGACTGAAGTTCAGAAATGGACGAACAACTACAACTTTCCGCCAGAGTTTACGATTCGTGCCCGCACCAAAAGGTTAGTTGCGTTTCCTTACAGAACGTTGCAGAACCAACCCCAACAGCCCCTGGCTGTTGTGTGGTTTTTCTAGGCAAATTTACGTCCAGTAGTTTGCCATTGCTGTCTGGGACGGTCGGCTTTTTGATACCACTGTCGAAACCAACACAAGGTGCATGGCTCGCAGTTGGGGTCGAACCCGGCATCCCGGCATTACGAAGCGTTCGCATCGACTTAGCCACAGGGCCGATGATGACCGCATAAAAGAAGAAAAAAACCGTGTCCACTGTTTCGACAGTCAGGTAGGCACGCGCGCACACACAAAACACAAACGCACACCACCACCACCCTCGCCACCACACACACACATTCTTAGTCATAATCGTTTCTTCTTTTAGCTGTGAGGCATCTGTCCCCAACAGAGTTCGGGGGTCGAAGACTGGAAATGACCATCGCGTCTTGTTATGGTTTGGCTTAGGACCTTCAACTTTACAAGCGCCCAACGGCAGATTCTGCCTTAGGAATAGTTTAATGGCCTGCCTG